AGATTTGTGCTCCCCTGGTGCTGGCTATGGGTTTACAAGCCCCTAGCCACACCCCACCCAAAATAGTCTCCCTACACCCCTCATCTTAAAACACAATAGAGAGGGTGGCAGTGAAACTATTAGCTACAAGGTGGGGAAAATCATATTTACCATAAAATACCTTCTTTCTTGTAAATCTTCTTCTCTTCAGCCCAACAAAAAGTAAAAATTTAAATCTATGATGTCCCTGTGCTACTTTTAAAATAAAAAGGAAAAATGTGTTGCACCAAACTACTGGGAGAAAAAAAAGCAACACCCAAAAAGTAATTAATTTAATTATGCATTTTTTCATTTTTTTTATTGGGGTAAATTTAAAAACCACTGTCCAATCACAGACTTCCCAATGCAGCTCAATGAGAAGCCTTTGCAGGGCAGGTTATCTGGGCATTTGCCTATCTCTTGAGTTTAGATCCACTGAGCTAAACAACCAGGAACTAACAGGATCGGTTGCCTGATTGACAGCCAGGGGGTGTAACAAGGTTAATACGTAAAAGTATAGATTTCTGATCAGGGTCTGGGGTTCCATCAGGACTTTGAGGAATTTCCCATACCCGTCTCCGCTATGCCCTCTCTGCCACAACCCACTCTTCTGAGTGGGACAATACCTACAAACAGTACCACTCTACCCCCAACCTCACGCTCCACTATATCCACCATGATAGGAAGATAAAGACATTAGCCACAATCATTCCAGAGGTACCTCACACAGGTACACAGCAATACCATTACACCCAACTGTTACACTTTATTCAAAGTATTCACTTGCTACCCAACGGGGCTAGAGATCTAACAAAGTTAAAACTTATGTGCTCACCACTGCCCTGCCCCACTATACTGCGAGTTGGTTGCATGAACTGCCGCTAGTAGTAACTGAGGGCCAGTGGAAGACTATCTTTTTTTCCAAATCCATAAGACTTCCATAAGCCTCGCAGCACAAGAGAGTAACTAACAACGCATCAGTCATGGCACTACACCCCAGCAAAACTGCACAAACTACACAATAATACACCGGATTCTTGCTGGAGATGCCATCAACCAGATGCGAACCCAGCACTCAGTTGGTGGAATTGCACACAAATTAGCAAATTCTGGGAACGCGTCAGCTCAATACTACACACTATTACCGCAATACAGCTCCCAATTACACCGGAGTGCTTTCTGTTTCTTCTGCTACCAATCGGTCAGAGGAGACCAAAATCCCTGTTAACGTCTCTCCTTCTAACTGCTGCAAACCAACTCATTCCGTTACACTGGAGGCATGCAAACCCTCCTTCAATACGAGACTGGATTCAAAGAGTGAAGCACATAAAACAAATGGAAGAGATCACCTACTCCCTCTCCAAAAACTACCTCACATTCCAACAGCTCTGGAAACCATGCGACACCTTTATACAAACGACAACCCGCAACACAGATACTGTAATGATACCATGGGCAAACTCTCACAATAAAGTACTCATAAATATATCATACGCTATTGACATTGATATAAGCCGGCTTCAACTGTATCCCACCCATCTATATAACTCATTGAATGTTAAACTAGAAAGTCAATATACACAGTTGTATACTTTTGCTCATCTAACCTTAACTATACAAGACAATTTAAGTACTTAACCCTGTATTCTACTGTACTTTTTTTTTTACTACTGTTAAATGAAAAAAGAGGACACACTCTTCACACATAAACCACTTTAGCAAGCTGAAGTTCTTTAGGGGCTTGAAGTTCCTTTTACTATTGATGAACTTTAATGCATTCTGTATGAAACATTCACTGTTGTTATTATTTTTAAAAAGTTCTCATTTCAAGAGAAATCAGCACTGTCATAAATCCTCTGGTAATGCCTCCAGAAAGCATGAGAGTTTTCTGTCTCATACGCTTAAAACTGTAGATCAAAAGTGAGTTCTTCTCATTGAGAACCCTGACTTCAGTGCTTCTCTTTGGGAAGCATTGTTGGTGTGTCCCAATGTTTCTTTGTGAAAAGTCTCTGCTTGGACACAAATCATCACTAATGATTTAATGGGTAGATTGGAGCTGCAATGGGTAGACTCTTCAGCAGCTATTAAAAGTGAGTTTAATTGATTTTAGAAATTTCAGTGTTGAAATGGCTCTAAACTGTAGTAGCAAGTACATCAATCAGATGTGGATGTAAGGATTCAGTTCCCTCAGAAAGTGTCAACAGCCTTCTGTATTGGAAATCAGGAACCAGGTTACCAAAGCAAATAAAATTATGTATATTTATTTAAACAGTTATAAAATAAGGTAGAAAAAAAACACAACGCGTTTCGACCCAGTGCAGTGGGTCTTCCTCAGGTGCATATCTTGTAGCATATACAACAACATTCTTATATATGGCATAAATGTCTAATACCAATAAATTACAAACATTAACAGCTGTGTGTTGGTAGTCCATCCCATTCACCATATAAGGTTTGCCCCCAGTTATGCCAATCTTTTTATGTCAAATTGGGAACGATTATTTATATACCAGGGACATAACTGGCGATACATAGATGTTATTTTTATTATCTGGAAGGGATCTGAGGTGGATTTTAATTTATTTTTTAATTATCTTAACGCTAATAATTGGGGAATCAAACTAACTAAAAATGTTAGCTCGACCACTATTGATTTCTTAGATCTTAATGTTTCTGAACAACTTAAAACCCGTACTTTTTTTAAACAAGTGGACGTAAACAGCTTTATTGAAACTAGTAGCTGCCACCATGACCCTTGGCTTTTGAATATCCCAAGAGGTCATTTTTTGCGAATGAGAAGAAATTGTAATCTAATTATAGTTTAGTTAAAACGTTCCTTTAACTTGACAAGTCTTAAAAAAATAATTAACAGTATAGATTACTTTTTTAAGTGTTCTTTAAGAGTCTTATTTGTCTTGGGGTTTAAGTAAACTAATGCTACTGATGGTTTTCATTTGTGTCCTGTATAGCTTATGTTTACATGTCATGTCTGTAATTCACTTACATTAATACACAATAACCAGGCTTTCCGGAGTATCCTGCTTCATTCAGAATTTTCTTTTCTTACTCATGGAAAAAAGGAAGCCAAGGTGTGAAAAAATTTATTGCCACATCCGTTTGTAATGCTAATATTTTGAAACGCGTTTTGGCATTATTAACTGGAACGTGCGCTTCTTTTTAAGTCAAATAAAGTAATGGCTTATGAATTTTCCTGTGTTATTAATTTACGTTGGAAGGAATACCACATGTATTTTCCTAAATGCTCAAACATGCATATTTATAACATTTATAATTCTGTGTATGTTGGCTGACAGGTTCAAGCAGTTTGTGGAAATATTCATTTTTTATTAGTTTTGTATATATGTTGCATCCAGGAGTGATATTGACAAAGCTAATTGTTCACATCTGTCAATAAAATTATATTTTCTTAAGATAAAGGAGTCCACAATCTACTCTACACAATGTTGATTGTGTATTCATCATTATTTTATATGAATAATAATTGTATTCTGTGCTTCAATTATCTAATAATAAAATTAACAAGGGATGGCTAAAAATATTATTTTGCTTACACTAGAAGATAGGGATTATTAATGGTGTTGGAATAAGATTATACAAGTATGTAGAGGGTCAATGTAAAAGAGTTCTCTGGTGACCTGTTCATTAACAGAACTATACAGAGGACATATTGTAATGTCCTGGAGAAAGATTATTATACCTACATATGCAGAAAGGTGTCTCAGTAACAATTATAAATAATGCAATTCACTGTTCCTAGTGAACAGATACTAGTTTAATAGTTTAAGTAGGATGGCCTAAATTTAATACTGTGAGATATGTTTTCCAAATTTAGCATTTTAAAAAATGATTTAATATTATGATGACAAATATTTACATTTAGTTATAGTTCGATTTTTTTTATATATTAATATTTTTTATAGATTACATATTTTTGATATTTTAAAATGCAGGACTAAATATTTTAAATGTTTATAAAAAAAAAAATACCCACTCATTTGGAACGCTTAGCCAACAATATTAAAGTGAGGCTTATATGTGTCAACATTATAAATAACAGCTTGTTGATCCATTGAAGTATTTCGGAATCAAGATGTATTCTCTTCCTTAAAATGTGACTTTACTGAAAATAATGTGTTCTTATTATTACTTATTTAATGTTTTTATTACAATGTCACGCTTGGTTATGCTTAGTACACTGCCACAGTGAGCAGGACAAACAGCAGTAACTCTAGAATGTCTTCCCACTCTCTATTCATCTGTAGCATTCAGTTTACCATTCTTAGTTGTTCAATGTTTGGCCCACATTGTTGCTTTCCTATAATGACTTGTAATATACAATGAAGCTGTAAGCTGCAGACTGTTAGATACACAAGAGACAGACATGAATTGCTATAGCTACCGTACTATGTGTCTTGCTTTCCTAAATACAGGCTGCTAACATTGTACCAGCCCAGCTCATACACTGATGTCAGTGCTAAACCAAGTAGTCAGAAAATAATTTCTAAGAATGAGGTTGATTAGGGAGGCAGGCTTAGGTACAGAAATCTGCAAAAATTTGTATTGTAATACATACAGTATATTAACGAGGCCAAAGCCTATCAAATATGTTAAATACGTATGGTACCCAGAATGTCCCTTTAATATAAAGCATACACTGCAGAATGTTTAGACTGCCTTAAAATAATGTGTAACACATTTTCCAGATAAAATTGTTTGCTTGACTTCTGCGTAATGACTGTGTTCATTTTTTCTCACCTAGGTAACCAGCCACAACAAACTGTAAATTTGTACGGCGATCCTTCACATTTCTGAACTTGTGGAGGGACACTGGGATATTTCCCGCATTGCAATGACAATTTTTGGCTGTTTCTGTAAAGCCAGTTAATTATTTTACTTATTCTTCTGGGTATGTGGTAATGTAACAAGAATCTCCATTTGGTATGTGGTCATGTTTTGCTTACCGTGGACCTAATGGTAAACAGGTCTCTGTTTAATATTTTATATTGTGACTTTTGCTGCTGATAAGAAAGTGTGATTAATTATAAAGATATATTGGACCAAATCACTAAAGTGTACGATACTCTGGTTTGAACTCCAAGTAGGCTTATTTAAAATGTTTATATTGCTAGAAAGTAAAACTTTTTTTTCTACTCCTAGCTGTTTTCTGTAACTTTCTAAAATACTTTCTAAAGCTTTTTGTTATAATAATGAATATTTAAGTATTTTCTTTACAATGTTTAGTTAATATTAGCATTATGCTAGTGGCATAATTAAGCAATTTATTTAAACTATTTATTTTTTCAGCTTTATCAATGCCATTTTTAGTTAATGGATTGGGTTCCGTGACTGTAGATATATTTAACTCTGGCATTTTTACTAATAATTTCTATGAGTAATTTGCAATTTATTCATGATTGATAAATATATCTTTGGTCATAAAATGCAAATTATCGATTTGGAAATCTAGTTTAGGGTAACTGCTTTTATGTTATGGCGAAAGCAGAAGAACATTATTTGGTTAATCTCCAGGTAAATAAACAAAACCAGTACCTACCAACACTAGGACAGGCACATTTTGGTTACCGAATAGACTGTTAGTATGAGATTCTTTATTTGCAGACACTTTGCCTGCTATGTTATTTAGACATCATAAAAAATGGCAGCTAAGGTCATTGCTTTGTCTCTAACAATCTGCTTGTCTCAGGGATAATGCGGCCCCTTGATTGTTAGAGGGACTATCTGTCATTGATTCATTTGCTTGTCATTGAACATTTTGTCCCTCTTGCATGTAAGAGGCTAATAGTTAGTGCCCCGGACATTTTTTTTTTATACAGTATATGCTGACAATGTAAAAAAGCAGAAAAGATGACCATTGAGATACACAACATGTTTATTTTTTTTAATTTGATACAAATAGGCTTCAGACCCTCATTTTAAAGTAGAATTAATCCATACATATATATCATCAAAATTGATCTATATCCTTTCATGAGACAAGAGGGGAAGAGTCCAAGAACACGCTGCCTTCCATGCTCAGAGATTTTCACATTTCCTTTTATTGTAAATTTATTCCAATAATTTTTCCCAATGTAATAATAGATCAAATCTACATTAACTACTTTCTCAACTTCCTAGGAATGTACTAAGACAAAATGTCTGTTGGTGCTTATGTATTTACAGGTTGACACTGTGTTAGTTTAGGGAAGTCACGTTGACACGTAAGGTTGATAATTCATATAAGAATGAGCATGTTTGTTGGAGTGCAGAGTGTGATGTATTTTCAGTTAGCTGTTTTTGTTTAGACATAGTCATATAAGCTAGAAGTATTGAGGTAAGATGTGTAATAAACCATTGCAGATAGAGTGAGGAGTGATCAGTTTGTCATTTTACAGCTTAAAAAAATGAAATGATCTCTTTTTGTAAATAAATTGTACAGTTAATTGCTTTTACATTGGATTAAGCATCTGTGTGTGTTATTTTTGCGGTAGTACTTTAAGATAATAATGTGCCTGATCATTGTTAAAAAAAAATAAAAAAATGTATGCCTATTAATCCACAGTTATCAAATTGTGATTAGTAAGTTAGAGTTATTATTTATTTATTTTTCTGAAGAGCTGCACCCTTAAGATAATTTATAAAAAAATATATATGCCTTCCTACATTGATATTCAAAATATTCCCTGTCTTTTCTGCAATGAAACAACAAATACTTGCTAAAGAACAATCAGAGCTACTATGGCAATCCCATATTACTTGGTTGATTTCAGAAAATGGATACAAATACAAGTCTGATTCCCTAATTATTAAATTTAAACATACCAAACAGATACATGGTCTTACAACATTACTTTTTATTGGTTAATACTCTAATTTGCTAATTGTGGATAGAATGTGAAAGTTGAATACACTTGTAAATGCTCCATATGCTTAAATATTTTGCTATGTGGTTTTAAATATCAACTATATTTTGGGCACATCAACATCCTGTTGACTAAACATAGCTACTGGGATGATGTCTCTGTCAATGCTTGTGCATCTAAACTTTGATCATTCATTTAAGGTTAATGACGTAAGTACTAGGTAAGGCAAAACACTCACAATTTGTTTTAAAGGAGCAGAAAACATGGTCTGTGAAGGAGGACCATGTTTAAAAGACACACGCAAAGCAACATAACTAGTATAGTTTGCAGAACATATTATGTTCACATTATGGAACTGGCACCATCCACTGGATTAATGTCCAAACAATGTTTTGCATAAACAGAGCCTTGCACATCTAACCACTCCCCCATCTGCCTCATTAATAATGCAAACTTTACACTTACATATTATTACTGTCAATTGCATCAAATCTAAATGTAATGATTGGCAGGAGGTATGTTGGCTCAAAGCTGTTAACCTATCAATGCAATCCAAGTTCAATAATACGGACAATGATATTGTAAAAGGGAAAATTCCACTTTATCAATATGGACTAGCGAGGGGACAGTCACAAAGCTCAAGTTTATGCCAAACCTCTCCTAAATGTTTTGACATTAAACCAAAGAACTGCTCCAGGGTAGTCTAGGCAACTTTATGACTAAAGAGAGCTGTAGTAGTTATGTCCCTTGGAGTGTACTCTTAGCTCTGTCTTGCATTTGAATTCTGATTATACCAAGCAGCAGACTAAGAGGAACACTGAGGTTCAGTTAGTATGCACTATAGACTCCCAACTGGATGTATAGTCAAACCATCAGCTAGAATCCCTATTTCCTCGTGGATCTTTCTCTAAAACATATGCATGTACTTTTTAGATTTACACTAGAATTTTCTGGTCCTTGACAAAAAATAAATAAATAATACAATTTACCTCCTTAAATGACAGACTGCTTTTAAAAGAGTTCACATGGAGTGCAATGCCAACAAAAACCAATAAATAGATTTGGCAGTAGATTTGTTTGCCCATGTAACAACAAATGGAATAGTTTTTGCTAATTGCAATATCGCATGAAATTGCAAACTTTAATGTGGCATCATCTGGAACCTTGGCTGGCACATTACTTAATTTTCATGATATGCTGAAAATAAATGCATTATGGAACCGGCCTGGGGATAATCTAAAAAACATGTATTCAACAATGTATGCATTTGTTACCAATTCCATTACCTCATTGTGGGGATCTTGTTTTCTGCTATAGTGCCCAAAATAATTTTCAGTGACCAATTCACTTAAATTATAGTCAATCTACACGTCCTATGTAGAATGACACAGACTTCATTCAAATACTATAATAGATTTTTAAAACTGTCAGTTTCTGTAGTTTATTTGCTAAATAGTGAATTGTGGTGAATTGGCAAAAGAACTGCAGAATAACAGATTTAAAAAAATATGTTTCTGCATTCTAATCCACATGTTGCAGTTCCCCTGTAAATCCAGAACAATCAGCTAAGTAAATAAACAAATTTAGACTTAAGACATTAAAACAAATTGTATGATTGTTGTGGAATTTCTGCTGTCAGTCAAATAAATAACCACAGACTCCTGTAACATCGTGTAGCTGCTATTTTTGCAGAATGTAAATAAAGCTATAAGCATTATTTCTAAATGGTCTTTCTCTCGTTTGTATTTTAAAAACCTGGATAAATGTGAATGAACAGTTTGATTAATCGTACATTGTTACATGTGTTGTTTTTGTCATTCGTTTTAATTTACCATATATTTTATGAAATGTAAAAAAAAAAATATAGCAAATAAACCATGTTTAAGTGCAATATTGAAAATAACCACCAAATACTTCAATGTTTTATTTTTTTTTTATTTTTTTTTAGGTTTGTGATTTTTAGCTTTATGCTTTTTTGGTAAGGGTATCTAACAGTTACAAAAATATTAATGCAAAAAAAAAAAAAAAAGAATGGAATGTCCACCATATAGTTTTAATTTAGAAATATATATCTTTTATATAATAGAATCCTTTATTTTCACAGTTTTATTACTTTTAAATGGGATAAAAAGTGCCTAAAATAGAAGTCTTTAGCTTGCATAGTTACTATTAATAATGATGAACTATGAATGCAAAAATGTCTCTTGTACAAACATAGCAAGTCTGTAATTTTAAACACCAAAATTCTGAATAGTTTTTTTTCCTTCAGCTGGTTTGAAACACATTGGAGTGAAAGCTTAGTGTTTTTAATCTCAGTTGTTCTCCTCTCAGATAACTTTTAAGTATGTTGTTGTGGTATCTGTTCCAAGGGGATTCTTAGCTATACATTTGTACATACCAGTATCAGAGCGTCTTGGATTCTGTACAACTAATGTGCCCTGCGGATGGAGTAGTTCAGTGCCTGAGGGGCGTCCTTTGCTTGCTGTAGATAATAAAGATAAATCTGGTAATTCCCATGTTATCTCAGGTTTTGGGATGCCAATAGCTGCACAGTTTAGGTGTACAGCAGATCCTACTCTTGTGTGAATGTTTTGTGGTGGTTTGTTTGTAATCCTGGGTGGGTAAGCTACAACCATGACAGGTACACTGATAGATGCCTCACCTGCATAATTCTTGGCTTTACAAAGATAATTCCCTCGATCATGTATTGTTGTTTCTTGAATGACTAAGGTTCCATTCTCAAGCAATGCGTATTTCCCATTGACTTGTGGTCTGTCTACAACATATCCACTAGGAAGTGTCCAGATTACACTAGGCCGAGGTATTCCATCAGAAAGACAATGTAAAGACAACGTCTCTCCAATTATATTCTTAATGGGTCCTCTAGGATGTGTAAGAATGGTAGGCTTTTGGCCAACTTCCAAAATAATGAGCTTCTCAATGTAGCCCACTTTGTTTCTGGCACCACATCGATATTTTCCTGTGTCATCTTTTGTTGGGCTGTAAATAATGAGGGTTCCATTGCTTCCTGCATGATATTTAGACACCTTTTGCCCACTTATGAATCGTGTGCCATTTGGCAAAAGCCATGAGATTTCTGGAGCAGGGTTTCCATCTGCAAAACAATTCAGTATTGCCATTTTGCCTGGCTTAGCTATCATTTTCTCATTAAATGGATTTTTAAACATGGGCCTTCTAAGCACATCTACTACTTCCAGCTGCACTACTAACATACTTTCACCACCATCATTACGAGCAACACAGGTGAATTCTGCTGTGTCTGAGGGTCGTACATTCCGAATTTCCAATGTACCATTCTTGTGCACAATTATCCGACTCCCATGATATGGGGCGGTTAGATAAATATTATCTGGCATGATCCACATAATTTGAAGAGGTGGATTACCTTCTGCCCTGCAGTTAATTAGCTTTCTGGAGTGCTTTAAGGCAGTATCCTTAATAATAGTCTTATTTGTATATAAACCATTTATAATTGGCGGTTTGGACTGAACATCCAACTTAAGAAGTTTAGTGTCATCTCCAGCAGGGTTTCGTGCCACACACATATATTCCCCTGCGTCCAATAAGATGAGTTGATTTATTGTTAAAGATCCATTTTCATACAACACATATCTGTCATGAGATGTTGCTATCATATCACTTGATGGAAGCAACCAAAATATTTTTGGCTTGGGTTCTCCAATAGCCTCACAATGCAAATCTATACTTTCTGTTGCTCTGGCAGCATACAGTGTCTTGTGATTCATCTGGATGCGGGGGGCTGCTGTTACCACCTTTATATGTACTTTCATTTCATCTTTCCCCAATGTGTTTTCAGCATAGCACGTATAATCTCCTTCCTCAGCCATGCCTACCTTGTTGAGATATAATGTTCCATTATCAAATAGGACGTACCTGCGTTTCCGCCTTCCGCTATCATCAGCTTGAAGTACATTATTTAATATTGTGCCATCAGGTAAGCTCCATGTTATTTCTGGCAATGGTAAGCCTGATGCCTTGCAATCCACCTTGAAGTCCTTCCCATAAGGTACTTGCTTGTTGAGGTGTTGTTTTTGAATGATCTTTGCGGGTTTCATGGTTACACTGACTTTCATTAATATTAAGTCCTCACCCATTTTATTTCTTGCTACACATAAATAGTCACCAGAATCCTTTTCAGTCACAGAATCAATCAAGAGGGAGCCATTTGGATGCACCTTAATTCGATTTCCCATTCTGGTAAGAAAAAGAAAGTAAAGGTATCGTCAACATTTATGATACAATATTCATGAGATTATTGTACAGTGCTGCAACATGTATTAGAAACAGGACACAGCGAATCATGAATATACAGCATGTTTTTACTTAACACAGCACATTGAGATTAAATAATTATTTTATAGTAAATTAAAGGATTTTAAAGGGTCTGTAACAATAACCAGTATTTTGCTTTAATGGTTTCACTGAAATGCAAAAAGCATGGTGGAATGCCAAGTTCACAATGGAAGAAAAATAACACATAAACAACTTGAATATTAAAAATCAATGGCTCATTATAAAAGGACATAAGGGTCAGCTGAGCCCAGGATTTCTGTACTGTGATCTATGACAACTGAGTGGAGCAGGAGATCTGTGTTCATATAATTACACATTTTGTGTAACTTCTGATTCCAGATGAGAGATTATCAATCACACCTGAGTGTTGAGCCGCATTCTACTTATTGGGGCCTTAAATGAACAGTCACAACAAGAGTTTGACCTCTAGATAGTTTTTTGTATCATGATTTGAATCATTGTGGGTATTCTACTTTGGGCATTCTACTTTGCCTAATATGACACCCAATCCTCATATTATACCAATATAAAAGTACATCCCAGTGATTGCATCGGCCGGTGGGCGAGACTGATCCCGCCCACCGGCCGGGGAGACCTAATGCGCATGCGCGGCAATGCGCATGCGCATTAGAGCTCCCCATAGGAAAGCATTGGAAATGAGGGGAAATGAGCGACGCTGGACGCTGGAGGGGAAATGACGCTGGACGTCCTCACACAGCGTGAGGACGTCCAGCGACGCTCTAGCACAGGTTTCCTGTGCTAGGGACATGGATGTGCCCTCTATTGGTTGTCTAGTTGACAGCCACTAGAGGTGGCGTTAACCCTGCAAGGTAATTATTGCAGTTTATAAAAAACTGCAATAATTACACTTGCAGGGTTAAGAGTAGTGGGAGTTGGCACCCAGACCACTCCAAAGGGCAGAAGTGGTCTGGGTGCCTGGAGTGTTCCTTTAATACAAACTACGGGAGAAGCTCCAAACTTTAATATAAAAAATAAAAATTATTATAAAGTATTTCTTTTTAAATTTATAGTCACCAGCAAGTAGGATAGGGGATCTCAGCATATAGTGTGGAGCAATAAAAAACTAAGCATAGCTGTGCTGTATGCACATAAGAATGTAACATTAATTATCATGCCCCATTACTTTGCATATAGTGTTAACAACAATAGAAGCTTCAGAGCTTCAGAGCTTTTTTTCACACAAATCTTTCTCTAATAGCCAGATTATTCAGTGCAATCAGATGAAGAAGCCAGAGTTGATAAAATTATTATTTGTTTCACTGATCCCACGGATTTATTTTCACATCCCCTTTTTCCTACTAGCAATAGCCTTTTCTCTCAAGCACTTTGGTATGGCCACCTGGAGTTCCCCCTGAACTCTGCCCCCCATGTATGCACAGTGCCGGCTGGTTATTAGGGTTACAAGCATCAGGATATTGTCTTTCAACTGCTGAGGTGCTTTTTACTCTTTTTGTAATAGTTGGGATTTTTATTCCCTGATTTTTTTTTTTTTTTTTTTTTGTTTCCCTGTCTGAGCAACTACCATTTGTTTCACTGTGGTAAATGTATGAGTTATTCCTGATTTTCAGCTTTTAAACTATTTTTAAAAGTTAAGTTTTACTTTATATTAGACTTCCCTTTGTCTTTTTGTTTTTGTTTTGTTTCTGCAGTAGTTTTGAGCCTATTCTATTTGTACTTTATATTCGGTTACCCACAAGTCTGGGAGTTTAGTTTGACAAACCTTTTTGCAGCGGCCACCTTTTTGGCAGTCAGACGACCACCACATTTTTACTAATATTTCTTTAAATATTTCTTCATTGCTTTCTTTAAAGGACCACTATAGGCACCCAGACCACTTCAGCTTAATGAAGTGGTCTGGGTGCCAGGTCCAGCTAGGGTTAACCCATTTTTTTTCTAAACATAGTAGTTTCAGAGAAACTGCTATGTTTATAAATGGGATAATCCAGCCCTCAAATCCTCTAGTGGCTGTCTCATTCACAGCCGCCAGAGGCGCTTGCATGATTCTTACTGTGAAAATCACAGTGAGAACACGCAAGCGTCCATAGGAAAGCATTGTAATTGCTTTCCTATGAGACAAGCGGAATGCGCGCGCAGCTCCTGCCGCGCGAGCGCATTCAGCCGAAAGGAAGGAGAGGAGGAGGATCAGAGGAGGAGAGCTCCCCGCCCGGCGCTGGAGAAAGGTAAGTTTTAACCCCTTTCCTCTCCCCAGAGCCCAGCGGGAGGGGGACCCTGAGGGTGGGGGCACCCTCAGGGCACTATAGTGCCAGGAAAACAAGTATGTTTTTCTGTCACTATAGTGGTCCTTTAAGTCAGTAACATGTGTAATCATCATGAAACTTTACACAAGATAATATATGATATAATGTGCAACAAAAAATGTTTGTGTTTTTTTAATTAGTTCTTTGAATTGAAAAGGAGTAAATTAAAAACAAATGCATTGCTATCTCATTCTCTGTCTGATGGAAATAATTACATTGGAGAAATCAGAAACAAGGTTAAAAGTTTCACTGGTGTAAGAAGTTTTACAAGACTGGCAGAGCAATCACACTAATCCTTTTACAAAGTCTTGTTTGTGTGTTTTTTTGCAGTTATTAGACGGACACAGAAGCAGGATATTACACAGTTTAAACATATAACAATGCATTGAAATATAAATTTAAAAAAAACAAAAAACAACCTTTTAAATGTCAGGCAAATGCTGCAGCTGGATGATGCTCCTTCCTGACTAGGAAGAGGCTCCACCAATCCTCTTGTACTGGTTTGTGGTGTTGGTAATTAACTTGTAAACACCCATCCATCAGGTATATGGGTTTAGTTTACTCCAGCCATAGTTCCACTCATCACATAGAATGAGTGGAACTGTTTAATAAAACAAAATAGCAAAGCCACACGATGGTTGCTGATAGCTAATTCACAACTTATTTTAAAATGTTGTGAACCGGGCTGTCTGCAGAGATCTCTATATTTGCTAACCGCAGTTGAGTGACTGCGGCTCAGATGCTTTCCTGGACGTGCAGAGAATGAGAGATGCCCTTTCTAGTTGTGCTTAGGGCATGGATACATCAAATGCACAAGTTAGAGCTCAGATGACAAAAAAAGGAAGTAAAAATTCCTCCTCTGATATTTGAGAGCTGGAGGGCTGGCTTATGGCAGTGATCTCTGCAAATTGTTGCAATTGTTGGCCACTCTTAGCATGAAGACCAGGTGCAGGAAACTCTCTTCACAATAACCTGCAGTCATACAAAGCTCTGTAAATGGAACCGCGTCCCTTTAGGTTTAATCAAATGTAATTCACAACCTACAGCCTAATATTTCACTGTAGCTCATGTTATTTTGAAACAGTGGTACTTTCTACACTTTCTTTTTTTAAATAACGTTTCTGTTGAGAATCAGTGATTATTTCCACACCAACATTAAAATGCAGGATGAAGTAGCAAATTGCTGTTTTATTTTCAGTATTCTACACCCATTGTTTATTGACAAAACAGTAATCTTCTTCTGGCTAAGCATCATGTCATCATGTTAGTTTGCCATTTATGATGGACAGGCTCTGTAGGATTTGTGTCTGCTCCCAACTTGATTAACCAATGCTAGTTCTATTATAACTTCAAGTCGCAGAATCCACTTTTGTCAAAAACTGTATTGAAGTGGAACGGTCATCTGAAATGACCTATGCACCATACAGCCATCAAACAGGCAAACTGATAATTCATTGTATAAATGTTTAATGCATCTGTTCAGCAGTTTCTTTGTTGGTTTATTTTTTTTTTTTAAATCAAGTTAACTTTTGGCATATATCAGGGAGCTTAGAGAGTTTTTTCTGTCTTCTGCACTTTTGAAAGCTAAGATATATTCTTTTGATTACGTAGTCTGACTGGATGCTGATGTCACATGTTAAGTGCAGCTATGGAGCTCGGACACATCAGCAATATGGAGATCCTAGAATAGAGTGACATTTGGATAGAAAAGAGGGACAGAGATGTTTGACTCGATCTAGAGACTGTCCCTCCTAAATAGGGATTACTGGGAGGTATGTTTTAGGAATTGGATAATATGCTAATGTCAATTGCTAATATGCTAATTTGAGTGATGAGACTCAAAAGTTAAATGATATAGAAGTTTGATTGCACTGGTTGCTTAATGTTATTTGAGGTTTATACAATTGAGATCATTACTTGTCATAAGCAATTGGATTAGGCTTGTCTGGGTTCTAAGATGGGACTTATCATCATTATAATTCTATCACACAGCTGTTCAAGTGAAGATATTGTGAAAATGCTTTTTATAAATCATGAGAAAATAAACTCTACTTTATGACAAATCATCAGCTTACAGACTGTAGTTATAACTCTTTTTCTACAATTTGAAAGAGAACTAACAAATACACTGCAATGTGGTAAAGTATTGGCTGTATTTTTGTTATCCATTTCATTTCAGTTTTACAACACCATTGTTCTACAAACATTGCATGGTTTATTGGAATAGACCGTGTGTCATTCCCAAACAATATACAGCTACCAGCACAACTTGACCTGCTTTGTGCCAGAATTGTATGCCAGTGAAAATATCATCAATTCACACACTGATTTTCATATCATCCATTCATTTTTAAGTATATATATATATATATAAAAAAAAAGCAGTAAAATTTAAATAACTTGTTATTCAGGTCCTGGAGGGGGCTAGTTCATTTTCTGGAGTTGGATATCAAAAGTTTAAGTGATACTTGGGCTACTACTCTAAATTTATTACCCTCCTCTACATATCATGAGCTGCACTTACATTTTACAACAGTACATACTGAGGTTGAAATCTTTTTAAATTATTTAAAGTGCAGAGGAAGCAGACTTGTTTTCTATTTTTGGTCTTGCGAGCATATTCAGGTGTTTGAAACCTTGTCTCAATGTCCTCATGTTTCTCTCTTCCCATCTTGATAGAATTGGCGATTTTAGGAAGTTTCCCCAACACCACACTTGCCAGTTCAGAATTCATTCATGTCATAGCTGTGATTGCCAGGAAACTATCCTGCACCATTGGATTACTAGTACATCTCCACCAATCACCCTATTTCGTTCCAAATTGTAACACTCTTTCCACATGGATTGGTCGGAAAAACTCAATCATAAGGAACGGCTAACAAAACATTTTTCTAAGACCTGGCAGCTATTTATTAACTCCCTAGACCCCCAAATGTAATAAACTATCCATAATACTTTTCAGTATACTAATTGGTACTTTATTGAATAAACTTTATTGAAACTTTATTGAATACACATACAATAACTGTGATTTCGAACCCCAACTCGATCTACTAATACCTGGCCAGGGGAGATCCCTTCACCCTCACAGGGGATTTCCTCTGATATTCTCTCTACGTTTTTTTTGCTACCTGGTAATAAAATTATTTCATTTACTATTGCTTGTGAGGAATTAGGATGGTAACCTTTGGAACCTGCATGCAGTTTGCCAATTCACACATTGGTGAACTGGGTGCTAAGAGTGCCTGTTCTCCTTGCTAAACAAATGTTAATGGGCAGGTTTTGCATACCATGTTTAAAAAGAATGTATGCCATATAATTATTTTGTGTTTATTTCTCCTTAGAAAGTAAGAAAATATATGACTGACTGTAGTGACTTTATTTAACACATGTGAATTACGTCCAGTTAATTTAATTCATATAAATATAGCTCTCACCTGTGCCACTGATCAACCACTGCTTTTGATGGAAGTCTCCACATTATCCTTGGCTTTGGCTCTCCTGTTGCTGTACAGTTTAACAACAGCTTATCTCCAAAATTCAACTCTATAGTTTTTGGTGAAGCATGGATTATTTGGGGAATCGTATCTCTTTGTTCCACACTGAGAGTGACAACTCTCCTTTCAGAACCAGTCGAACTAGTTGCGATGCACTCATAATTTCCATTGTCTGTTGAGGCCACATTTCTAATGTAAAGAGTTCCATTGGAGAAAAGGAAGAGTTTGGCATTAACATAATGTAATGGTTTCACCTTTGTACCATCAAATGCTACCCAATGAACAGTAGGATGAGGATTTCCTTTAGCTGTACAGGGGAGCTTTAAATTTTCACCTGCAACAGCTAGAACTGTTTGTCTTTTAGTCTCCAAAATCACAGGAGGAGCAGCAATCACTTGGATCCTTACTGTAGAAGTATCAACTCCAGCTATATTGGTAGCTAAACACTTGTACATCCCACGATCATATATTGTAATTTCTTTGATTGTAAGAGTTCCATCTGGGTCTACAAATGCTTTCCGGTTATTTATGGATGAATCAGACGCAATGGTCTCATTTGCCAATATCCAGGTAATGGTGGGGAAAGGTCTGCCTTCAGCTTGGCATTTTATATTTACAGAACTTCCAGAGTGCACAGTAATTTCTCTTGACTTGGCCTGTAGAATCTTTGGAGGATATGTGATAACTGAAAGTGTGACTAGTAACCTGTCAGATCCATGCTTGTTGGTGGCCACACATAAGTACTGCCCGCGGTCATTTAGACTAACACTTAATATGGATAGTGTTCCATTACCAAAAACCTCCATTCTGTTTCCCCTTCGTGTTTTGGATACAAACATTCCTGGTGGGAAAACAAAATGCTGTTATTCTACACAAATATTAACTATGATTTGCCGCGACTTACATTAATTAAACATAATGATGCTATTCTATATTAAATCCATATATATTTTGAAATTTGTTTATGAAATTATGTTTTTTATTGTATCATAACAAACAAGGACACTCGCAAAAAAAAGACCTCTACAACACAAGGGGAGGTCAGCAGTGTATAACATTTGTACATTCGATCTCCAGGTTTAGTTCCATTTGGTAAAGGTGTTCTACAGAAATAACCCAAACACAGTACACGGTTTAGGGATCTAGGGAAAACCTAAGGAACCAACCAGCCTGGAAATAAAACCATGCAAATGTGTTAAAGCATGAATAAGACTGTGCATGAGTCACATCACTGGCAGATACCCAAGTCAGCTATAGTGTTACAGATAGCATTTATGATGTTAGAATTTTGCGCATGCTTTGTAGAGCTCAGAGCAAGCTCTGGTCGCACTAATGTGTATGGCAATAACCCAGGAATGTCTACAGCAAACAACGTATTTCCTTTTTGATTTTGTTTAAAGCTCTGTGCTTCTCCTGAACAATTATTTGTTTTGCTTAAATGTTCTTTTGGGATTGCAAAGAATAATTTAAATTATTTACATTTGACCCATGTTTTAAAATGGCAATTTCACACCATAATTTCTAATACTGTGGTTTAGTACAATGTTTAAATGTCATCATTTACAGACATCTAGAATAAAAAGACTTACCGAAAAACTGTCAAAGATTATTCTGTACTTTAAATAGAATATTAAAACATTTTAAAAATTGAGGAACATTATGTTTAATTAAAAAAAGAATTCTCTAAAGGCATGAGAGGCAGCACAATGAATATATAAAAGCAAAAAAAAAACTTAGAAGCTATTTTTTTATGTCGGTTCACTAGGTATTCCAGTTATTGTAGAAAGAGGTGTAACTAGAAACCACAAGGCCCCTGTGCGAGAACTGCACTGGGGACCCCTATGTTTTTAATCCCCACCCCAGACCCTCCATGTGTCTTACCCAGCTCCCCATATGTCTTTCCCACCTACCCCCTCCGTGTGTCTCTCCCACCCCCATAAATTTGTGACAGACACACACATGCACTGACAAACACACACTCATACTGATTGACAGACACTCAAACTGTCATACACACACACTGACACTGACACAGACACACTCACACTAACAGACACACTGACAGACACACACACACACACACTGACAGGCACACACAGACTCACTGACAGACACACACACTGACACACTCACTGACTGACAGACACACACACACACTCACTGACTGACCGACACAAACACTCACACTGACAGACACACACTGACAGACACTCTTACACTGACTAATAGACACACACACTGACACACTCACACACACACTGACTGACACATACACATAGACAGACACACTGACACACTTTTGCACACTCTCAGAATTACATTTTTTGAGGCCCACCCAGCTTCTCTACCTTTTGGAGAGCTGGTGTGGGTCCTCTCCCTGGGATCCAGTGTGAGGCTGTGCTGTAATCTGACATTTTCTCTCTCCTCCCACTGACTGTTTAGTATGCCAGGATTGGAATGGCGTTATATTCCGGCTCCCAGAGGGCGCGCGAAGGACGAGAGAGGAACTCCCAGATCAGCCTCCCTCGCTGCCCACACTGCCGCCTGCCTCCTCTCCTCCCATCTCCTTGCAGCAATTATCGGCAGAGTAGGCACCTGTCATCCAGGTAAGCAAGTGCCTACTCTGCCTCACTGTGTTGGAGACGATCGGGGGTGCCCAAAAGTGGCCCCCGTATGAGAGTGGCCCTATGTGAGAGGGCTCCTCTCGGCACCCACACCTTCAGCGGCTCACATTCACAGGGGTCAATAGAGCAACTGGGCCCCCTGGAGTGACAAGCCCAGTGACAGTGGTTGTTCTGCAGCTGATTGTAGAGTTAATTTCAATCAGGCTCTGACATTATTTGGATTGGTTAAGCATTGTAGAAATCTTAGTCCATCCAAGCTGAAGCACTAAAGGACAACTATGCTCTCATTAAAAACAGGAAGCTGAGCTAACAAAAATAGAAAAGATATTCCATACTAATTAAATCTATATCTTTCTTGGTGAGCATGTATTGTATTAGGAAAATCCAATCTTTATTAGCAATTAATATCCCTTTTATATGAAAAGTCAGGAAAATGCTAGCCTCACCTGATGATACCTTTGTCCATAATACCATAGGTACTGGATTTCCAACAGCTTCACAAGGAATAAAGGCATCGGAGTTAGCCAAGACAGTGAAACTTGCAGCTTTTCCCCCAGTAATCTTAGGCTTTGATGGGACATCATTTGAAGTAGGTTCTAGATTCTGAAGTCCAATTGTTGTTGTTTCCAGACTTTCTTTAATTTCTTGCAGACCTCTTTTGTCTTCGCTATTAGATAAAGTATGAGATGGCATGCCATTTGTAGACGGTTTCAATTCAGTTGAAGTGTTTTTTGGCATAGTCCCTGTGCCATCTGATTTCATTTGTGATCTGTTTTCCAAGTTATAATTGGTTGTTTTCTTTGCAAGGACAGTCAGGGGTTGAGCTGTCCCTGGGATTGATATTGGTGATAAATCAGATACATTGCTAGTCATTTTTCTCCTTTTTACAGCTGGTGATGTGGTACTTGTAACAATGCCTGATTTCAGAGTTGTTGCCTTTTTGTTAAATTGACTAGCCACATGTTTATATTTAGAGGAAGTATCTTGTTGATGAGTTGTGGTTATAAAATTACTTTCATATTCTGAATATGTAGAGGGTATTAAAGTGGGTAAAAAACTAGTCAATTCATTCATTTTAGATAGTGGTTGTGATAATGTTTTTGAGGTACTTGGATTTTTACTCCAGGAAAACTTTTTATTAGTGGTTAGCAGGATGTCATTGACTACACTCGACAATGGTGTGGTTTGTTGATCTGTGACTGTACTAACATAAAGCTGTGGATGTTGGGTAACTGAATATGTTTTAGTGATACTCTTCAGAGTGCTGTTTTTAAAAACAGTTGGTTTAAGGATAGATTTGGTATGATTTGATATGTGGTTCGAAAATACTGAATTACTAAAAGAATTCTTCTTCCGTGGCCTTTTTCTTTTTAAGAACCTCTGTTTTGTTATGGTTGCTGCACTGAATGATATTGGAATTGTCATAGTTAACATAGTATTTGCAGTTGGTTCAATAGTCGTCGCTTCAGATGGTGTTAGAGGACTGGAAAGTGTAAGATAGGCTATTGTATTAGTTCTTGGTGCTAAAGTACCCTCAGTTCTAGTGAAAGGGCTGCTGGTCACAGTATTCAATGTGGTGGTAGTTTGGTGTGCAAACCTACTTGGACTTGTTAAAGGGATAGCTGTAATTGGTTTAGTAACGGTAGTTGTAATTGGTGTAGTAACTGTGGATACCTGTTGAGTATTTTTTCTAAGTTTCCTAACTATCTCTCTGTGAATTAGATGATTTTTTCCATACAACCTATGCCAAGGAATTTTCCTCCTTAGTATTCTAGTTGGAGCTCTGTTTTTTGTGGTGATTTCCAGAGTTGTGGTGTGAATATATTCTATATTTTTCATGGTGGGTATTGTTGTTGGTGTTTGAGTTGCTATGTTTTGCCTGTGCTGAGCATTAATTTGGTGACTATCCAAATTTACCAATTTTTCACTAATGTCTTCAAGTATTTTCAGAGTAGTAGGTTTGTAAGAAGAGATAATATTACTTCTTGTGCCTATCTTTTCTTGGGGTGTACTGTATGTCGCCATGGCTGATTGTGAGGATGAAATAAAATTGCTGATTGACGCTTCATCTGTATCTGGTGGTGCAGTAATAAGCAATGTAGCAGACGAGCCATTTGAATTGTGGGAGGCACTACCTGTATTTTCTTTTGTTGTACGCATTACTTGTGTAGCTGACTTTAAGGGCAATGTATTCATTAGGACTATGTTTGCATTGTCTGCTGTTGAACCAAAAGGAGCATTTGTCTCTTTTCCTAAAATACTACTGGGAGTTGCAGTAGTGGGCACATTTGGAATAGTATGTGGAAAATATGTAGTGGGAAAGTATTTACTGAGCTCTGAAATGGTTGTTTGGTCTATGGTGCTATGTGCATAATCTTTTGAATCATTCTTTTCAAGTTTATATTTGTGAACTCTAGTAATTGGAATCCTTTCTGGCCTAATAATTCGTCTTTTTCCAGAAATTCGCCTTCGGCCATAACGTCTTATGCTAGGTTCTAATGGAGTTACATTTTTTACAATCTGAATCTGTTGATGGGTAATGATTGTGGACCCTGCTGGCAGTTGGGGTGAGATTATTTTTTGAGTACTTTTAATATATATAGGGCCAATTTCAGTTTGTGATAAAAACAATTTGGTACTTGCCTTAGTTGAAGAATCAATAGTCAAAATATTTCCTTCATCAAATCCATCATTGACACCTGAAACATAAGGGAGATGTGTTCTCTGTTCTTCTGACTTTAACAAAGGGATTGCTTGTGATTGTAGCATTTCCCTTAATGTTGGATTAGCTGTAGTGGTTGACACACTAACCATTCTATCTGGAGTGGTATCTGGGTCATAGTTGGCTGGTAAAATAGGAACAGTGCCTGGATGATGCGTTGCATCTTTTTCTGTAAGATTTGTAATATAAGCAGGTATTTGGTATTTATAAGTTTGAGTTGTTAATAGCACTTTAGGATTTGTAACTGTATTAGACATATTATCTTCATGGTATGATGAGGGATTGGTGATATTTCTTGAAGATAATGGACTATAAGTCGGTGGACTTCTACTTGAAATATCTTCAGACGTAGTAATTGGAAAATGTGTCTGGCTATGAGTTTTACTTGGAGCACTTTTGGAAGTTATATGTAAATATTTGTTAGTGGTTTGTTGTTTCATTAAAACACTCTGTGAAGTTGTCGAAAAGTCATTGGGTGTGAATGTTGGTCTAACACTTGCATTGTGAAGTATATGACTGAACTTTGAAGGTAGGTGATTCATAACATCTTCTGAAGAAATATCCAAATAACTAGAGGTAGTAAATAGGCTACTCTGGGTGCCTTGTTGGGTAACATACATGTTATCTACTGTTGTGGATTGGTCTGCAGTATCTGGTTGAGACATGGGATGCATGTATTCAGCTGTTGTTGGGGAAGTGGTCACTATGTTGTGTGGAGTTATAGTTGTTGGATTAGTAATAACACTTTGTGCTGTGGTTAATGAAGTAAACACTGTCATTAACCCATGATTGACCTGAAGATTACTCTTTGTGGGGGTCAGTTCAGTGATGGTCCTGAGTACTGTAGGTGTTGTATGTAAGATACTCGAACTGACTTTTGGCTGTGCAAGCATATCTATTGAAGGGCTATTTAACAAGCTATATGTTGTTGGTGCTTCCTGAATATCCTTTAATGCAGTATCTGTAAGTGTATCAAGAGACTGCTCAGTTTTCTTCCGAGTTGTCCCTAAAGTAAGATCTCTAATTGTTGTTGATGCCAAGGAAGTTATTGCATCTTCTGTGTTTTTTTGAAGTGTAAAAATGTAGTTTTCTGTTGTCTGCAAAGGTGTTGTTTTAACATCTGTCACTGTCTTTGATGTTGTTTCCATGTTTAATATAGTTACTGCTGGATGTTTTGTAGTTAATATCAAAAACTTTTCTTTTACTGGGAGTAGTTCTTCTCCAGATGCTTCTTCCACCTCGCCGGACACCATTTCTACATCCTGTTCTTCTTTTTCCAGAATTGTTGCCTCCTGAATTTCTTTTTTGCTGTTAATGGAATTCTGTTTTGTCCTTTCTAAAATTTCTGACCAACGTTGGGGGTCAATTTTTCTTGAACTTTGAATGAATGGACGTCTGTTTCCTCTAATCCGTTTGTTAATTTTGGTTCGTCTTTGAACTCCATTGTGGCCATTTTCTGTGTCCTCCAATGTAGTTACTTTTTCTCTCCACTGGAATCTTCTTGGAATTTTTCTTTGAGTGATGGCTTTTCCTCTTGCAGAATGAATATTAAATTCTTCAATATCTTCATTGGTAGACCCATCATCATTTTCATCTTCATTGTGGTCGAGTTGTAACTTCTCATTGAGTATTTTGATTTTTGTATCATCTTTAACTGTTACCTTGTGTATAAGGGTGTCAATACCATACTGATTAGCTGCTAAGCATCTAAAATGCCCTCTGTCTCTCTGTGTTACATCATGTATTTTTAATGTTCCATTGTGGAAAATAATTTTGTTCTGTGATGTGTCATGCAGCACAGAATGGTCTGGTAAAATCCAACTCACAGATGCATCAGGTATACCAAATGATCCACAAGGAAGAAAGAGTTCATCTCCATGACTCACTGTAAGTTCTGCACCATTGACACTGTCTTCTTCCACATCAGCGCTGACCACTGTAATTCTAAAAGAAAGCACATCAGCATCAAGATAATTTGTTGCGATACAGTGATAAACTCCAGTATCAAAACTGTCCGCTGCCTTTAGCATAAATTTTCCACCTTTTGTTAAGGTTATCCTTCCTTCTTCACTTACATATGGAGCTCTAAGCTTACTTCCATCAGGAAGGACCCACTCAATAACAGGAGTGGGTTCACCCAATACTTGACAATCCATTTCCACAGTTCCCCCAATCACTGCAGAATATTCTGTCTTTGTTTGGTTAGTTTTAACAATCATAACCCAGTCACCTTTCATTGGCTTCTCAGTGGTCTTTGGTATTTTGAGATACATATCCGACAAATACCTAATATGCAATGTACTTAGAGTCGTAGCTGTCCTGTCTAACTGTAACGTCATTGAGTCCTGCATAAGCCAGCTTGGTTCCGCTCTGAGTTCTGCTTCAATGTCTGTAAAGACCTCATCATCTGATGAGTATTGTCTGTATTTGTAACTAATGTAGGGTGCCTTTGTAAGCAAAAGGTTTTTTTTAAGTTTCATGGGAGAATCACTGTACATAGCTAGGATGCCCCATATTTTTTGAATGTGATCATAATCAATGCTGCATACAAGAAAGGTAGAAAATGTAGTTCTCATTATTGTGTATTCTGCTTTTATATCCAATGTTATTTGAGACATTTTTGTTGGTCTTTGAACACTGCAGGCTAAATTGGCTTCATTTCCAGAATTGTCAGTCATATTTAGGATAAGAGAGCCTATGGGGGCTACAAAGTCTTTGGCAGATATAGAGGTAAATCCTATGTCTTCTGCAGTGGTGATATTTTTTATCTTGTATATGTTCTCTATAGTTGGTTTTATACAATTTAGGTCTTGAGATGAGATGTCTGTTAGAGACTTTCCTTTGTTTTTTCTTGGAATTGAACATAAAGGACATTGTGGACCAGATCGATCTTTCTTACATTTTATCAGGTCTGTGGAAGAAACAGATGTCACAGTTTTTACATAATGTACATGAAAAAGAAATAACTAAACAGTGTAATAATAGACAAAATATTGTATGATCATCTGGTGTTTACATCTTTTTACTACATTATTTCAGCGTCAACCTGTGCTGGAATGCAGTTGGTTTTTAATTTAAAGGGTTACTCCATCAACTTTCTTTAGTCTATTTATTTAATTAGCAGCAATAGTCTCAATCAATATCTACATTAACCCCCCTTCCATGTTTTGATTGCATATTCTTTCAAAATAGCTTGATACTTACCTAGAAAGCAGCACCTGGCAAGCTTCATCTTTATCATTCACACCGCATATTCATCTTCCGGGTCTTGTTACAATCAAATGCTTCTCAAAGAGTATTGATGGACCTTAGGCACATGTGCGGTGAGTGCCGCAAATGCACCAGTCGGCTTCTTCACATAGAAAACATTGAATCCAGTGCTTTTCGATGTGGATTTTTAAATGATGAGAGTGTGTGCTAACCAATGGATAAACAAGGAGGGAAGGAGGCGGAAGTAAGATATATTGGTGCTAGAGAGGCCTACCAATGGGGTGGTAAGGGTGGTGGGGGGTATATTGAGTGGTGTCAGTAGGGAGGGAGTTACACTGAGCACTACCACTGGGGGAGGGAGTGGAAATAGGTAGAACGCTGTCACTATGGAGGGAGGTAAATAAATTGGGTCGAATGCTGTCACTAGAGAGAGAGGGAAGTTACATTGAACGCTGTCGCTATGGAGGGAGGTAAATGAATTAGATAGAATGCTGTCACTAGAGAGGGAGGGGAGTTACATTGAGCGCTGTCACTATGGAGGGAGGTAAATTAATTGGGTCGAATGCTGTCACTAGAGAGGGAGGGGAGTTACAGTGAGCGCTGTCACTATGGAGGGAGGTAAATTAATTGGGTAGAATGCTGTCACTAGACAGGGAGGGAAGTTACACTGAACGCTGTTACTATGGAGGGAGGTAAAATAATTAGTTAAAATGCTGTCACTAGACAGGGAGGGAAGTTACATTGAGCGCTGTCGCTATGGAGGGAGGTAAATGAATAAGATAGAATGCTGTCACTAGAGAGGGAGGGGAGTTACATTGAGCACTGTCACTATGGAGGGAGGTAAAATAATTAGTTAAAATGCTGTCACTAGACAGGGAGGGGAGTTACATTGAGCGCTGTCGCTATGGAGGGAGGTAAATTAATTGGGTCGAATGCTGTCACTAGAGAGGGAGGGGAGTTACAGTGAGCGCTGTCACTATGGAGGGAGGTAAATTAATTGGGTAGAATGCTGTCACTAGACTGGGAGGGAAGTTACATTGAACGCTGTTACTATGGAGGGAGGTAAAATAATTAGTTAAAATGCTGTCACTAGACAGGGAGGGAAGTTACATTGAGCGCTGTCGCTATGGAGGGAGGTAAATGAATAAGATAGAATGCTGTCACTAGAGAGGGAGGGGAGTTACATTGAGCACTGTCACTATGGAGGGAGGTAAAATAATTAGTTAAAATGCTGTCACTAGACAGGGAGGGGAGTTACATTGAGCGCTGTCGCTATGGAGGGAGGTAAATTAATTGGGTCGAATGCTGTCACTAGAGAGGGAGGGGAGTTACAGTGAGCGCTGTCACTATGGAGGGAGGTAAATTAATTGGGTAGAATGCTGTCACTAGACTGGGAGGGGAGTTACATTGAGCGCTGTCGCTATGGAGGGAGGTAAAATAATTAGTTAAAATGCTGTGACTAGAGAGGCAGGGGAGTTACATTGAGCACTGTCGCTATGGAGGGAGGTAAATAAGTTACATTTGGTGCTAAAAACAATGTCAGACGGGTGCTCGTAGAATTAAGAAGTTAAACGCAAATATAAATAATTGTGATTTCTTCAATTATACATGCTGTTGTACTTTTAAAATGAATACTTTCATAAACATAGAGCATATATAGTAAAAAGAGACAAATACCAGTATATACACCTCCCCAATGTGATCACCACAAAAATAAGTGATATTACCAATATAGAACTGGACTGTAATGTAAACAGCGTAGAACTTGATTGGGGTATAAACTAAAATAGAAAAAACATAAAAAACATAGTGCAAACTGTATGATAATAAATAAGTGATAAATAGGTATGTGATTCTCACTCACATTCTCCAGAGCCGTACCAGGCTCTGTATAGCAGGCTCAGGGGTGCCAATAACTGGCTAACGATCCAGGTGGTCCAAATAGATGAGACTCCAAAGGTTAAATATAAAATATATTTATTTATAAAAATATATAAAAAAGTGTATACACTGCTGGGCACTATGGGGGTGGAACCCAAAACAGACAAGGATATATATAAAACAATAATGGAATTCCACTTACCCCTATCTGTATAGTAGCCCAGAGTGACAGAAATACACATAAAATAACAAATACAAATGCAGAAGATTGAAGCAGACGCGTTTCGGCCAACAGCCTTCCTCCAGTGCTTGTCTTCATGTCCTATTGAGTCTTCTTTTATAAGTCCTTATCTGTCCCATTCACCTGGATCCAATTTCGTACCGGCGTCGCGTCACTTCCGGTTTGCGGGTGACGTCACTTCCGGTTTTTCGGCCGGCTGGAACGCACGCTGAAACGCGGCGTTCAGGATGTAGATTGTTATGATTAAGTCCCCATAGCAACCTTAGCCTCCATATTTGCAAAATATCATAATAGAATAAGAAAAAACACTTATTCTATTATGATATTTTGCAAATATGGAGGCTAAGGTTGCTATGGGGACTTAATCATAACAATCTACATCCTGAACGCCGCGTTTCAGCGTGCGTTCCAGCCGGCCGAAAAACCGGAAGTGACGTCACCCGCGAAACCGGAAGTGACGCGACGCCGGTACGAAATTGGATCCAGGTGAATGGGACAGATAAGGCTTATAAAAGAAGACTCAATAGGACATGAAGACAAGCACTGGAGGAAGGCTGTTGGCCGAAACGCGTCTGCTTCAATCTTCTGCATTTGTATTTGTTATTTTATGTGTATTTCTGTCACTCTGGGCTACTATACAGATAGGGGTAAGTGGAATTCCATTATTGTTTTATATATATCCTTGTCTGTTTTGGGTTCCACCCCCATAGTGCCCAGCAGTGTATACACTTTTTTATATATTTTTTATAAATAAATATATTTTATATTTAACCTTTGGAGTCTCATCTATTTGGACCACCTGGATCGTTAGCCAGTTATTGGCACCCCTGAGCCTGCTATACAGAGCCTGGTACGGCTCTGGAGAATGTGAGTGAGAATCACATACCTATTTATCACTTATTTATTATCATACAGTTTGCACTATGTTTTTTATGTTTTTTCTATTTTAGTTTATACCCCAATCAAGTTCTACGCTGTTTACATTACAGTCCAGTTCTATATTGGTAATATCACTTATTTTTGTGGTGATCACATTGGGGAGGTGTATATACTGGTATTTGTCTCTTTTTATTGTATTATGTAAATCTGGTGTATAAGGGAAGCACTAGGGTACCGGTTACACCATCTATTGTATACTTTATACTATATACAGAATTGTCAAAATTACAGTGAAGCGCCTACGCACTATCCTTCTTTTTTTTCTGTTATAGAGCATATATAGCACCTGGATAGTTGCCACTATACACATCTAAATCGGGCTGACTAAATCAAAACCTGTTACAACAGACATAATTGTTGCACAGAATTAAGATTATGTCATCAGTGCCAGTGGTGCATTTAGCCCACGGCGCAAAAGTGGTGATATCCCTGTCCAGTATTTTAAGATCAAATGCTGCGTGTACAGATTGCTTCCACAATGACCACCTTCTAAAAGTAGTCATTGGGGTTGAAATACCCCTTTAAACTATAATTGTCTAATTTTTTTTATTGCTTTTTTTTTTTTTTTACTCGTCCACTAATGTTTTCCTGATTGAAGTCACTACTAGTAATGAAACTAAATAATTTGTGCTTGTATTCTCTTAATATATAACACTCTAGACATTACATACATCATGTCATTTTTTTTTTTTTTTTTTTAAATATGGCTGTGTGTGCTCTATAGATTGATATCAGACTAATTCATTAATCTTCAACATAAAATAAAAAAATATACAACAAGAAAAACATTGGATTTTTAGAGTAGTGACATTCAAACAGTCAGTGCAGTGACTATCACACTAGTGTTTATCGGTTTACATATGTTAATAGATATTCTGTTTGTTGTAACTGTCATTAGTCTAATACTATCCTGACCTTTTTCTGTCATTTTACCTCACTCCCTCTAGTATGTAAGATCATTGAGCAGGACCCTCAACCCCTCTGTTCCTGTGTGTCCAACTTGTCTGGTTACAACTACATATCTGTTCGTCCACCCATTGTACAGAGCTACGGAATTTGACGGCGCTATATAAATATCATAATAATAATAATAACTGCAAAGACCCGATTATAGGTTGATTTAAATGTAGAGTTGTTTACATATGTTAATAGATATTCTGTTTGTTGTAACTGCAAAGACCCAATTATAGTTTAATTTAAATGTAGAGTTGTATTCATAACTATTTTAAATAAATAGCAGTTCTACATCTGCAGGAAAACTGCTATTCAATTAAAAGAGATAAGATTTTCTCCTATAATACAATCCATGTAGTATTCATTTTATTTATATTTTAAGTGGAAGTAGTTTGACAAGCTAATTAATATTAATATTTTGTACTGACACAAGTGAGCTTACAGAAGTTTAAGGGGAGCATCTAACAATACAAGGCAAGTTACTGAGTGTTTTTAAACACTTGTCTAAGCATCTTTCATATCATGTTGAGGTAAGGTTTTCTTTAGGTCTCTGAATCATCAGTAATGACATAATTTCCCCAGTTGAGCATTTTGATTTCTATGAAAACATTCTTTGTTAATCCTTTATGTAGTTTATTATTGAAAAAGGGCATCATGCTAACGTGAGTCATGTTCTCTACATTTAAATCAGCTGAAAATCTATATCTGGGAGAAATAGCTTTTTCTCAAATGTCCAGTTCTATAGTAAATACAACTAATAAAGAAAGTATTACCTTTAAAATTATGTGATCCATCTGTGAGCCATTGTAGGTTACAGTCACACGTCCATGGGTTTTCATTAATATAGAGTCCTTCCAATTCATTCATGTACAAGAACATGTCTTTAGGTAGTGAAGATAACTGGTTGCTGGATAGGTAAACATGTTTTATGGATGATGTTTTAAAGATCTGAATGTACCGCAAAGTAACAAAAGTGTCTGTATGAAGTTGTCTCAGCAGGTTTCCTTCCAGGTGGACCAGTTTAAGAGATGTGAGTCCATAGAATGATCCGGGGTCTAAGAATTCCAATTTGTTATGATCCATGTGTAATCTCACCAGATTTTTAAGACCATGAAAAGTGTTCTTATGGAGGGATTTTACTTTATTGTAGCTCATCTTTAATATCTGGGTGGAACAGAAAACCAGGACACCATGTAGTAACACAACATACAATTATTATATTCAAATATTTATACTTCATCCTTGATTACTAAAGAACTTTTGAAGACCATATTACCTCTTTACTAAGAATTTACAAGACATTCCTAGCAATCTTTATCAGTCTAAAGCAAGTGATTTCTAAATCTCAGTTTAGCATTCTACACAAATAATTTCCAAATTATAATTGGGGTTCTGATCATCATCTTTACGGTATAAACCTCCATACATTGACAAAATAAGCCTTTACAATTCTTAGTTAACTAACAGAACAGACAATTCCTTAACCCAATGCTTATGTCAGAACTGTCCTCTTAGACGTCCTTTGATGCTGGTTCGTGACCACCCCTACCCATTATGCAAATTTAGATACTTGTCATATAAATAGTTTTATGAAACCATTTTCCTGTTCATATTTGTTTTGCTTTCGAATATTATTGTATTAATTACATTAACAAAGTTTTTTTTTTTTGTCACTACATATTCAACTGAAATGTAATCCTATTTAAAGCTTAACTATCTCATGCCTGACTGCTTACTACTTTATCTGGCATTTATAGTATTAAGGATTCCATGCTGGAAGAAAGTTATTTATCTGTTTAAATCATTCTTACCTGTAAAGAGGATAAATCGTTAAAGGCGCTTTCATGAATTGTTTGGATCTCATTACTGTGCAGCATCAGCAATTCCAGCTTCTCCAGACCAGAGAAGTCCCTTTCTTCCAGCCTACTCACACTGTTGTAACTGTACACAAGAAGACAAATCAAAAGAAGAGAATAAATATGCACATAAGCTCCGTTTTACTTAAAGGAGAGAAGGGGGTTTACCTATGTATGTTCAGAAAACACTGCCTTTATGGTATTTAATTTGTTCCTTGCTGGTATGGGGACTTCTGTAAACTACTATGGATAAATATTTTTGAACGAGTACATGAACTCTTCCTATGCATGACTTGCCATATCCTGGAATGCTTTTACCAGGATAACTGGAACATTATGATAAATTAAAATTAAATATCCAAGAGAATTCTAGATCTCTGATATAAATCTTCATAAAATACTCATATGTGACTATCTTTTCATAATGTTTCTCAGCAATCCTCTATACACATTGTGGCGAAACCAACCTCGCCACTGGGCATTGGAGAAGCCTGTTTGCCCGCCTGCTGACTATGGCCCCTGGGAGATTTGGCCCTTTAAATACAGTATTTGGGCATATTGTATTTTATTATGCTGCTGCTGGCCCTTTAAGAACCATCTGGGAAAATACTGTGGAGTTACTGGGTGGCCACCATTTCATGTATCAGAGGCACATGGTGAGAACAATGGATGAAGCACATGTTAAGAACAATGGATGGCGGCCATTTTAACTCACAGACACTGTTTGGACTTTTCTACACAGTGCCATCTCGCCGGTATTTGGTGCACAAAGACATCATGCAGTAGTTTTAAACTATACAACAGGGGATACATTATACAGTAATTATTTTTCATTTAGCCTGTATATGTTCTGCGGAATCTGCATTAAACCGTATCTTCCAAACTACTGAACGGATCTGGGTGAATTTTGGATATGTGGTTCACCCAGATCCCCCGGTTCCGAGGATATACTTTATGGGGTTATTGCATGTTTTGGGGTCCCTGTGATATGTTCTATAATACTGTATTTATCTGCCTGTGATAATTATATTAACCATTGTGTTCAGTAATCATATCACAGGCAGAGGGGAGGATTTTGTGTGGGAGTGTCTGTGTGTATTGTACGGATTGATTGGTTGTATTTCAAAACCCCGTGGGCAGTACTATGTTTGTGGATTGTGAATAAAAGAGGCTGTATGTGCCAGTACAGTCAGTTCTAATTCACCCTCAATTTGGAGTGCCTTCTCTTATTGGGGGAATCTTCTACAAGGGATTGCTATGCTTGTCATACTCCCTTGCTAAATCACTACTAAGCTCTTATAAGAGCTTGTTCCTGTCCTGCTCTCTGAAGGAGTCAACGGTGGTTATGGTGTCGGCTGGAGTGCTTGGAGCCCTTAGGAAACACTAGGAGCATCCTTCAACGGTGGTACCCAGTTGGGGTGCCAGGTGATCCGTTACACAGATTTTTACGCTCATTTTGTAAGCAGAGGTGTGTGACGGGAAACATTTGTTTTTCTTTTTCTATATAAATTAGTTCAATAAAGAAGACCATTCCCACGCGTGCTAACAATGTTGGCACAGTTTGCTATTTATTGCATTTGCTTTTTATTATACAAATTAATTGATGCATATGTTGACTATGTTGGGATGTTATAAAACTTATATTTTCATAATGCCGTCATCATCTCCCTAATTAATACACTTGTTCTAACTATACATTGTTAATAATGAATACACACTGTATTCATCATTATCATTGCACTGATACCCAAATTATTTTATGTTTTGCAATTAATACCTATCATGATACACACAACTTTAATTAAAAAGAAAGTCCAAAAAGAAAGATCTATTTAAGAGTTTGCTCTTTCCATCACCTGTCAATCAATTGTCATGATAGTCCTCACTGTCAAATGCAACTGACTTACAGGGAGAGCAGGAGAAGCCTCCTGCAACCACTTATTCTGTTCTCTGTAACAGATCTATTCCTCTACAACAGGGGTAGGCAACCTTTGGCACTCCAGTTGTTGTGTACTATATCTCCCACAGCTATAATCCTGGAACAGAATCAGGGAGGATGCAGTCCACAACATTTGGAGTTTTGATGGTCGCTTACCCCTGCTCCCAGGAATCAGGGCCAGATTAAGAGCCCAGTGGGCCTGGTGCTGACAATTATGACGGGCCTAATTACAGAATCATATCGACCAAAAACAGTAAAACACTCCCAAGCATCATGTATCTGATGGAGATGGTGCTGGAGAGAACGAAAACAGCAGCTATAAGAAAACACATACCCTAGGCTAATCTCTCTCTAATTTATGTTTTCATCTTTCAAGTAAATCCATAACCCCTAACAGCAGTGTCCAGTCAGGCAGGAAGTCAATGGGCATGGTAAAAGGGTGTGCCACTGACACAAATCACGTAACCTGCCAAAAGGGGCGAACATGCCCAAAAAGAGGACATGTCTGCTCAAAGAATTAGAAGGCCAGCCTGGTATGAATGCATGTCAGGCTGCCTGCCAATCATGCAGCTGGCCAACTAAGGGCATACTATGCAGACAGCACCCTGAGCTTGGCATAAATGCATCTAATGATGCGCTCGCTCAACGCTTTCTAAGGACTGTCCCCTAGCACTCGCTGGTCCACTTGTCTCCTTACCTTCTTACTAGCAGGCAGAAGCTCCTGGTATATGGTCTGGGACAGAGGAAAGCTTTATGTAGTGAGTGTAGAAGAAAGGGAACATGCCACAGTGTTAGAGAGACCAAAGTCAGCATTACCTTAAAGGATCACTATAGGGTCAGGAACACAAACATGAATTCATGACCCTATAGTGTTAACACCACCATCTAGCCCTCCTGGGCCCCTCATGCCTCCATAAATATAGCAAAGAAGTGGTGGCCTGATCCAATCACAGTGCTTCCCCATAGGATTGGCTGAGACTGACAAAGAGGCAGATCAGGGTCAGAGCCAGCATGATTCAAACACAGCCCTGGCCAATCAGCATCTCCTTATATAGATTAATTTAATGAATCTCTATGAGGAAAGTTCAGTGTCTGCATGCAGAGGGAGGAGACACTGAATGTTTGCATGCATTTTAGGCAGCCATGACCCAGGAAGGATCTCTAACAGTCATCTTAGGAGTGGCCAGTGAAGTTATCACTAGGATGTAATGTAAACACAACATTTTCTCTGAAAAGACCGTGCTTACAGCAAAAAGCCTGATAGTAATGATTCTACTCACCAGAACAAATTCAATAAGCTGTAGTTGTTCTGATGACTATAGTGTCCCTTTAACTATATTCATGGTCAGCCAGTCCACACAAGTTTTGTTCCCATACATCCCTCTTAAGTTTCCATACTTAAGTAAGAGTATGTGAAAAGTAGTTAGGGTTGCCACCTTTCTTGGAAAAACATACCGGCCTTACTAATTTGCATAATTAAATATGTGTGGGTGACATCACATGATATAAATCACAAGGAGTGACATAAGAGAAAATGCTGTAAAATCACCAAAAAACTACTTAGTTTAAATCTGCTGTATAGATGGATTCCTCCCAGTGCCCCCATGTCTCCCAGTGCCCTCATGACTCAGTGCCCCCCATGTGTCGATTACTCCAGGTCTCAGTGTTCCTATGTATCAGTGTCTCAGTGCCCCATGTCTCCCAGTGTCCCCTAGTGTCATGTCCCCAGGTCTCCCAGTGATCCTATGTATCACAGTGTCTCAATGCCCCATGTCTCCCTGTGTCCCCATGTATCCCATGGTCCCCATGTCACTAGGACACTAGGAAGATGGGGAGACCTGGGGACACGGGGAGACCTAGGGACACGGAGACACCAGTGACACTGGGAGACTAGGGGACTCTGGCTGGGACACATGGGGACAATGGAAAAATAGGGGACACTTGAAGACATGGGGACACAGACACCAGGGACAAAGATACTAGAGACACTGGCTGGGGGACATGGGGACATTGAGACATGGGGGCACTGGGAGACATGGGGACACAGACACCAGGGCCACAGACACTAAGGACACTAGCTTGGTGACATTGTGACACTTGAGGCACTGAGAGACATGGAGGCACTAGGAGACATGGGGACAGTGAGACACTGGCAGATTGGGGGCACTGGGAGACTAGGGGTCACTGGAAGACTAGAGGCACTGAGACACCAGGAACACTGGCTGGGAGACATGGGGACACTGTTGCATAGTAATTTCCATTTATACTGAGAAAAATACCAGCATTTATATTGCCAGTATCACTGCAATATTGGCACCAGCCAGGCAGCCTCAAATACTGGCTGTGCCAATAAAATAAAAGCCAGGTGGAATCCCTAAGAGTAGTGTGTGGAAAAAAAAAATTAAAAAAAAAATGTTTTTTTTTTTTTTTTTTAAATCAATGGGCCTATTCCATGGGCCTGGGCCTGGGCCTGGAGCTGCAGCTCCATCAGCCCCTATGTTAATCCAGCCCTGCCAGGAGTATGTAACAAACTAAAGTGTTTTAGGGCTCTAAGTTAATAGAAACCTTGAAGCTCTGTAGTGCATTTCAGAGGGAATAATATTCTGCTTCTTTGTACTAGTGCAACGTACACATACATTGCTACAGTGCTTCTCCTTTTGGTTTCAAAAAGAGACCAGGGGGTGATAAGTAACCTGGAACTTGCTTTAAAAAAGATGCAGATAATGGTAACAATTACCATTCAAGTGTATATACTCAACTATTCTAATTTTAAATGCATATTTAATAGAATAAAAAAAAAAAGAGGGAGAAATTTATTAAGCTCTGCATCCTGTTACATATGGAAGCCGTTAATTATTTTCAGGTTTCTTTCTTGTTTAGTAGAATGATTCATTGTTTGCGTATTTAATCACGTTTTTAATGTTCATTCACCTGGGGCCTATTGATATTAATATATTTAATGTGTGTTTGGACAGGGGGTCCTTTCAGTAACAGCAATATTCTTAGTCATTTTCTCTCAGTGACTTGTAAAATAAATAAACTTAGTGTGTGTTTGCTTTCCATGGTTCACTGACACTAGTCAAGCAAGGTGCCAGAAATGGAAAACACAAAGTGCTTGGAATACAGAAATACAAATCTATATTTACTGTTTTAAAAATAACAACACTTAAAATTTAGAAAATGTCTAGTTCCTGGTAAGGAACCTGGGGCATTCTAAAATGTGTTCCATAAGTATGATGTATTATTATACGTCTAAGGGAGCAGAATAAAATGGGAATAGTAAAATGCCCCATTGTGGAGAAATTTATATTTATTAATAAGAATAAATGTGATTATAAATCCTATTTTGCCCATGTGACATAACAATGTTGAAACTATAACTACTATGCACACATTGCCATTCACAAAATGCTGATTCCATAAAAGTCAGTCCACATAAAAGTAAATTATATATTGACAGGGCTTTCATTTTCAAACGGCAATGTTCTTTTAAAAAAAAACCTGAAGGATACTGTAGAGTTACACAAGAAGTTAATAAATTACTCCAAGAACTGGAAACTTGTGTTAAAGCTAAAGTTAAATTTGACTTTATTATGTATAATGTGTATGTATGTACTTTTTAGTGTGTGTACTTTGTCTTGTACGTTTAAATCTGTCCAAATCATAAAAAAATAAATAAATAGAAATAAAGTAAAGCAAATAAGCCTATCTATACAACTTGGCTCTACTCCATGCGTTTTTGTGTTGTTTTATATATTTTATTTCCCAGTTATTATGGGGCATAGTTAAAATGCTCATGAACTGACCTTAAAGAAACATTCCAAGCACCATAATCACAACAGCACAGCAGTGGTTATGGTGTCAGGGGTGCGCTGCCACCCCACCTAAATTTAAGTAGTCAAACCATTTTCTAATGGCTTGACTTCTTACATAGGGAACATGAAGAGCTGCTCCATGCCCCTTCCCTTTTGGTCTGAGAGCCGGTAGCTATCTGCCTGAGCTAAGCCTGGCAGTGCAAGACTTAGCTCATTGGCTGAAAATGATCAGTTGATGCACTCAGCCAATGAGCTGACCCTCCACAGCTGGGCTCAGCTCGAGCACCTGGAAAACATAATTTACTGTTTTGACATAAATATATTTTTTCTCTTGGGGAAAAACGCAGAACATGCAGGAAAAATACATGATTCATAGGCTTCTAAGATAATGAAAGCCATTTTGAGTGAATACATGACTGGCCTTCACCTGATCTCTTGCCATTCATAAGTTTCCTTATCCTGAGTCTGTAACTTTTATAAAGTTCTGTACATCTAGTTCAGCACCAGTCACACTTTATAACAATGTATTCTATTATGCAAATTTTGTTTCCAATATGTATGTCTTCTACACTTGGCATACTCTCTTGACAGTGCTCTATGTACGCAGTTGAAAGGAATGAGTACTGCAGAGTTATGATGCCATACCTTAGAGCCGGTGCACTGAGAAAGCATGACTAGCCATCTGTGCCCAAAGTTCCAGGAAAAGCTCCCTACTGCTCTGTAGACACAAATTACTTTTCATGTTTTATCTAATCCAGTGCAATGTAAAGGAAACAGTCATTTAGTCGAGTGCGAGGTCAGATGTTACTGCATTGGCTGCATCACTGGTAATTCTGTTGGGAAATACAACATCAAATACTGCATATAATTATATTATTTATATAGCGCCATCAAATACCGCAGCGCTTTACAATTGGTGGACGAACAGACATGTAGTTGTAACCAGACACGTTGGACACACAGGAACAGAGGGGTTGAGGGCCCTGCTCAATGAGCTTACATGCTAGAGGGAGTGGGGTAAAATGACACAAAAAGGTAAGGATAGTATTAGACTAATGACAGTTGCAAGAGAGGAATCAGTCAGAAGTGTGTTTTTAATGATTTTTTTGAAGGAGTGGAGTGGAGACTGGGTGAGCATCTAACAGAGGAGGGAAGCGAGTTCCACAGAAACATTGCAGCCCTTGAGAAGTCTTGAAGGCGAGCATCAGAGGTGGGAGTACGAACAGAAGATAGACGTAAGTCTTCAGCAGATCGTAAGGGCCTAGACGGGACATACTTGTGTATAAGGGAGGATAGATAGGTGGGAGCAGCATTATGTATAGATTTGAAATATAATAATATGTATAATAATTATAATTAGCACTTGAGCTGTAGAAGGCGCTGTGCAGTTCAGAGTACTGCTCATTTATGATATGAACTTGTTGGTACTCACAGGAAGGGAGTTCTTTGGTTTTTTTTTTACTTGCTCTTTGTCTCTCTTCCTTTTACCTTTCACCCTGCTGGCTGCTCTGATAATTGATATGTTATAAATGTTTGCTGTTTATACACACAAGTAAAGCCCAATATGCTTTTTCACAATCTGCCAGTGTCTCTTTTTGATGCATAACCAACAGGTTATGGATACAGATTCTAAAGGAAAACCACAAATAATGATCCCAGTAAATACTGAGTGAGGAAACAAGAGCTGCATCCAGTTTACTGAAAGATGACAAGTGGTTCAGATGTGAAGTTTGCAATAACAAAGCTCAACAATGCCAATTACCAGATGTGGAAATTCAAGCTTGAAATGCTGTTATCCAAAGATAACTTGTGGCATGTACTGGATACAAACAGACCCACTGACAATCCTGAAGAATGTGTCCTCTGGGCACTTAAAGATAGACCCTGGTTCCCTGTTGGCTCCTCCGCCGTTCTCCACGCCAGGTCCCCTCGCCCCTGTGAATGCTATGCTAGAGATTGTGGAACAGCTACATGCAATAGGTGAAGACATGAAAGACAATCATGTAGTAGCATTATTACTATGCAGCCTTCCAGAGTCATTTGGTGCCCTTATAAATGCTCTGAAAACTAGACCAGAGCAGGAACTAACACTAGAATATGCTAAAGGAAAATAATTTGATGAATACAACAAAAGAAAGGAAAATATGCATATGGAAGATAATGAGAGATCAGAGGTAGCTGAAGGCATAAGACAAAGCAAAGAAACCAGGGTATGTTTTCGGTGCAAAAAGGCCAGTCACCTAAAAAAGAACTGCTCAATCTGGAAAGCTGAGCAGCGAAGGAAAGAGCCACCAACAAGAGAAAGAGTTAAAACAGGCACAAAGGAAACTGCAGGTGCATCATGGAGTGGTACCTTTAAAGTAACTCAGAATAGCACATCACACGGATGGTGCATCGACTCAGGGGCAACAAGTCACATGACAAGTGATGAAACGTTTTTTACAGAAATTGATTACAGTGCAAAAGACAGTCTTCCTAGCAAATGGGAAAGTATTACAGCAGAGGGTTCCTGAAGTGCATCACACAGTCAGGGGGTAAGCAAAGCATCCTTGTAAAGAATGTTCTGTATGTTCTAAGCCTAGAAGGAAGTCTTCTATCAGTGTAAACCCTTGCTAAAAATGGACTCACAGTCTAGTTCCGAGGCAATGAATGCACAATTTGAAACAAAAAACAATTCCTAGAAAAAAGAAGGTTGAATGAACACCTGTACAAACTCATCACTGCAAGCGAACAAGCCAGAGCAACAACTCATAAAGTACACAACAAGTGTGGCACAGAAGATTGGGACATCAAAACCCAGAAGCCATAAAGGATTTTGCAAAGAGAGCTCTATCAATTTTGCCTTGCCACATGCTCATGAAATGCATGTGTTGTATCAAAGCAAAGGCCACACGTACACCACTTCCACAGACTAGTCAAAGAAAGACGACTCAACCCATGGAACTCATACACAGTGACATGTGTGGACCAATGAAATCCCCCACACCTAGCGGGAACAGATATTTACTGACCTTCAATAATGATTATTCCAGATACACAACGACATATCTGCTGAAGCACAAAAGCGAGACATCAGAGAGACTTCAGGAATTCATAGCTGTGACCAGCAATAAATTTCAAAGGAAACCAGGAATAATACACACTGACAATGGAGGGGAAAAATGGGACAGGGTGTCTAATCATACCTATTATGGTATTGTTGGTATTGGTATGGTATTGTACACCAAACAACTGTACCATACACTTCTGAACAAAATGGTGTAGCAGAAAGTAAAAATCGCACTCTCACAGAAATGGCCAGATGCATGCTTTCAGATGCCAACTTACCTAACAAGTACTGGGGAGCAATAATGACTGCAACATACCTACAGAACAGGCTACCATCAAAAACTATTCAAAGTACTCCATACCAAATGTGGAATGGATCAAAACCCAGTATAGGGCATATCAGAGTGTTCGGCTGTAAGGCATATGCCATGCCCTAAGTGAGAAAAGTTCCAAGTTGGAGAACAAAGCCATAGAAGGGTTTCTGATGGGCTAGAAGGGAACAAACTAAAGGCATATAGAATCCTTCACCCAAAGACCAACAGGGTTACAATAAGTCACAGTGTTTATTTTGATGAAAGTGAAGCATCAGAAAAACCGATCCTAAAAAGCTGTGAAGAGAATAGGCCCACTGAAACAGCAAGAGATGATGACCAACATGAAGCTGCACAAAAGTCAGAACAAGGGGAACTTACAATATACAAACCAGTAGAACCTACCGAAAAAACAGAAATCAGACGATCCATTCGGGTGACAAAAGGAATACCACCCTGCAGGCTGTCTTACACTGCTTAGACATATGGAATACAGGAACCCACATCCTGGAAAGACATATAAAAATTGCCCAAAAAGGGAAGCCAATCAGTGGAAGAAGAAATAAAATCACTTCATTAAAACCAAACCTGGTCCCTCACTATGCTCCCCCTCCGATCACAAAACTATAGGAAGCAAATAGACTTTCAAAGTGAAATATGATGCAGAAGGAAATATACAAGTCGAGATTAGTTGCCAAAGGATACTCCCAGAAATTCGGAGACGATTATGCTCCACTTGTAAAGCACACAACCATCAGAGCACCCCTTAGCATTGCAGCCAGAAAGGCAATGCAGGTGAAGCATCTGGATGTCAAAACCACTTTCCTATATGGAGATATCAAGGAGGATCTCTATATGGAACAGCCACCAGGGTTTGAAAAGGGACAAAACCTTGTATGTAAGCTTCCAAAGAGCCTCTATGGGCTCAAACAGGCAGCAAGAATGTGGAATGAAAAAGTGAATGATATACTCACAAAAGAAGGATTCTCGAGAATTAAAGCATGGTATAATGTATTTTTTCAAAGAATAAAGAAAACAAATGGATATACATTCTAATTTATGTTGACGACATAATTTGTTTTGAACAAGAAGGGGATTATGACCAAATAGTTCACAAATTGAAACAGAACTTTAAGATTAAAGAGTTAGGGAACATCAGTCACTACCTAGAAATTCAAATAGAGAGGGAAGAAGATGAAAGCTTTCTTCTCAACCAAAGTAAAAAAATTTGCAAGATGCAAAAGGAGTGAAAACACCAATGGAACCTGATTATCAGAAAAACTGTGAAACAGAAAATGTGTTACACAACAATGATAATTACCGCAAGACCATTGGAAAATTGCTATACATTGCTACAGTAACAAGACCAGATGTTGTCGCAGCAGTTGGTATACTTTGCAGAAAAGTTGCAACACCTAGTCAAGAGAGCGATACAGTACCTAAAGGGAACAACTCGAATAAAGCTGAGACTGCCAGCAATGTCAAACCCCAAATTAATCGGAAATGTAGATGGTTACATCTTCCAGCATGGAGAAGGAACTACAAGCTGGTCTAGTCGAAAACAAGTGACTGTAGCACTATCTTCAACTGAAGTGGAATATGTAGCATCAGCACAAGCATGTCAAGAAGCAACTTGGATTTGCCAACTTCTACTAGATATGGGACTGAACATGTCTAAACCCATACCAATCCTTGAAGACAATCAGGGATGCATACAATTGGCCAAATCAGAAAGGGTAAATACCAGAACCAAGTATATTGATGTAAAACATCATCTGCTCAGGGACATGCAAGAGCAAGGAGTTATTGACATTCAGTATTGTCCATCAAAAGAGATGACTGCAGACGCACTCACCAAACCGTTGCTAAAGGAGCGTCATTGTTTACTACAAAAGAAGCTGAATGTCACGTAATTATGCACATGCCATTGAGAAGGGGTGTTGGGAAATACGACCGCATGTACTGCATAATATGTATATAATTAGCACTTTAGCTGTAGATGGCGCTGTGCAGTTCAGAGTACTGCTTATATGTGATATGAACTTTTTGGTACTGACAGGAAGGAAGTTCTTGTTTTTTTTACTTACTCTATGTCTCTCTTCCTTTTGCAATTCACCCTGCTGGCTGCTGTTTGAAGTAACTGATATGTTATAAATGTTTGCTGTTTATACACACAAGTAAAGCCTAATATGCTTCTTCACAATCTGCCAGTGTCTCTTTTTGATGCATAACCAACAAATTCTATCCCGGAAGACCGTTGCAATCCACGTAATTTAAGCAAAGGCCCAGTTGTATTCTGCAGAATGTCCCAGTAAATAACGTCACTGCTTAACATGAAAATGTTAATCCCTTTCCAAACCTGCTAGGGACATCATGACATAGATTATCATAGAGGCTAATCATATGTGTACACCATCATGTACTAACACATGCAGTTTGCAGATCATTGTATAAAATGTGTACACAGTGGTCTAACTATGTGGGAGGTACTTTACATCACAAACTCACTCTCCTTTATAATATTCCAACATGTACGGAAAGTTATTTCTAGAGCAGTGTAGGCTGTTCTGTCCAGTATACAAACATTATTTGTTTCCAGTCTATATTTATTCCCACTGCTACCAGTTGTTGGAATTTTTAAAGAAAGAAATATAGAATTAAGTAAATCAAAACATGAAGGATATGTGAATTGTAAATTTAGTCAATGCAGATAGTTTAAATTGAAACATTAAGTATTTTTTATTTTTTAATCTAACATACCCAAAATTAATGCGTACGACGTGTGCTTGGATCGGTTTGGGGATCACGGTGAGATATCTAAAAGTGCAGTGAACTTCTGCCGGTACATAGCAGGCACAGAGTTTGGGACATGCTGTAGTCCTGTTGGGAAGAACTATAAGCCATAGACCTATGACTAATCCAAGAAAATACGGATGACATCTCCATGATGGTTTCATCCTTAATGATATTTTAAAGCACCATCACTCTGAAGAATCTACAAGGCAAAAAATACAAAGTTATTGTTACTATCTGCTCTGTAAAAGACACAATCTTTATGCACAAGTTATTATGTCACTAGATTTTCCAAGAACATAATAAATGTTAAAAATATAATACATATATGTAATCAGAATTGGTTATCGTGCCTGGAGTTCCCTGGCGCTGTTTCTCCATCAAGCGTTAAACATTGTCAGGCATTTTAACACTGAATAATGGTTCCATCCACTCAACTTCCAGCCCCAGCTTAGGAACATTGTATTCTCTCAATGGATGGTTGTGATAGGCTTAAAGAGTTCAGCTTATACTGTCAGCCAAGCACAACTGCCCATTGCAGCTCAAGTTAATACTTCTTCATTAGTCTGAGCAACACAAAGGGGTCTAGCTACTGGGGACTCTTGTTTACCATCAAACCATTAAAAAAATGTTTTGACACTTAGTGGAAGGATGGTGTCAGGGAACTACCGACACTATAATTACTTTAATGAGAGGAAACCATTACAGTTCCTGCAGTATCCCTATTAGCATTTTACTGCAGGGGCACAAAATCCAAAGGATGTTTAATCGACATAAAAGAATCCGAAGAATCAGTAGGTCTAAAATGCAAAAGGGATTTGGTGTGACCTTTCCCTCTGTTACATTTCATTTGTGCCAATTAAACCTCTTGTGGATTTTGAGTGTTTGCAGTGGCAATATTTCTATTTTATTTTGTTTTTGTTTCATTACTGGATTTTGAGTTCCTATGCCTGGTGACCTGTCTTCTACTTGGGTAAGTGGGACTTATGCCAGTGGCGTTTTGCTGCCCCGGTTCCAAGAATTTACAAATTGAGTATAGTCAAAACCCATGAGCTTGGATCCTCATTATTTCAATAATGAGTAATGGAACTAAAGTCTACTTCCACAGTTATTCTAGTGGAAACATAACATTATGAGGCCTATCAGTGATGGTGATCCTACATTTGCATAACTTGTGATTCCATCACCTGGGAAAATCTGGTGAGAATTCCACGCACCATTAGCTGATGATAATTTGCAGGCTTAACAAAAGCTTTTGAACCTCCATGTTACCCAAAGTGCCTTGGTGACGTTGTTCACCAGGTTACATAACATTTTTTGCTGGAGGCAGTGTAATCCTGACATAAAAAGTAAATATTCCACTCGTAGCAACTAGAACATGTTTCATCCATTAACAACATTCATAAATTGTCTGTGAGTAATTCTATGCCAGAGAACACGTCAATTCCCTTGTTGCCAAATAATCATTTCCAAAGAAAGCGAACTGTTTGGAGTAGATGGATTGTGTTGGCAAGTCAAAATTCTCAGAAAATGCTGATATCATATAATGACTTTTCCTTTCTCCTCCTCTGCAGAACATGATTCCAGTAGCATTTTATTTCTGTGGTTTAATAGAAATATGAAGACATTGAGCGTATGGATGTCTTCTGTTGGGGGTGACCAGAATGGAATGATGGCAGAAAGCCATGGCTTAGCAGTGTTATGTGTGGTAAGGCCAGTCAAGAGATGTTATTTTAATCTACAGCCAAATGTTACAGTATGTGGTGGAAATGCATGTGTCAGCACAGGTTTAAATGTTGATACTTTCATTAAAGGGAACATAATTGGAAAACAATGAAGATTTATGAGGCCACTGTTTCAATTGCCAAATATGACTGCTATTCACTACAATGCTCTTGGTATTGGCCTTAATCACACTTTAAACAAATGTCATTTTGGCAAACTGGATAGATTCACTTAGGGTCAGCCTCATATTGCATGTTATGGACAAAGTGAGTTGGTGACCTGAAGCAAACATTGTGCTTTATTGTCACTTTATTTCATGACACTATTAATTGATTAGGAAGCCTTTACTGAGGTGTACAAAAATAGATCATCAGAATGACACACACAGAAAGACATATACAACCCACGTGTAAATCTAATGTCTCTTCATATAAATTATTTTTAATGTAATAAATGACCATTATTGTGTTACTGTCCTTTTATCATTTTCAACCGCAAATATTACTCCATAACAAGTGGAATTGGTCCGAAACAGTTGTTTATTGTCATTTAATTGTACTAAGCACAGAAAACAAATATTTTTAAGACTGAGAATACATAGGCTAATCCAAGTTACCTTGATATCTATATCTGACATCTAGCTCATCTTTGATAATGTTTCTAAAGTGTATTACAGACCAGGCTTGTGAGTAATTGATACGAAGTATTCAAGCCGGAGAATTAATACAATTCACATAATCATCTGAAAGCAAATAGCGTTTGATCATCGATTACTGTTGAATATAATGGTTACACAAACGTAAAAACACCCATGCCAATTTAAAAAAACAAACAAAAAAAAACCACAACACATAAGTAATTATCTAACACTGATGCTATATAGAAAAAGTAGATCGGAATAGTATACTGTGCTTTGAAAACTGTTTTGTGAAATTCAGGTCAAGTTAACAAATATAATAAACTTGACTGATTTGGGATTTTTTTGTTAAACTATCTAATGTATTCTAAATGTAGCTCACTGCTTAGTAAATAAATCCCAGCATGCATACATAAACTAATATTAGCTGCTGCTTCTTGTAGTAATGTGGGTAGCCTTCACAATACGTCCTTAATCAACATGTTGCACAGAGGACTGCGCAGCTTCTGAGTGAAACTACAAAGAGCTATGAGAAAGTAATGCACTAATCACTATATCCTTAATCACAAAATGTGTATTTTGTAGATTATTCCAATATACAGAATGATGCAAAATTATGTGAATTGAATATATGCTTTTAGATACATATTAAAAAAATAAATAAAATAAAAGCATACATGATCACTGAAATGAACTGTACCTGGTACTTGAATGCAGGAGATTCTCCTTTTTAAATGGCAGGCTCCAGTGCCACCAGTACAGAGCTTACGGTCCTTACATATGAACCATGGAACTAAAGGTTAAGACAATCCAGGCTGATCAGTCAATGAGTACTGTTTGTTTAGATGGATGGAGAAATCTTTCACTTGCCCGGTGCTCAAATACATCAATTTATAACTCCCTTAAAGTCCTTATAACTGTGCAATGTTTAAGTCACTCGTGTGCAGTTAAATTTATCCAGAATTAGTTATAATAGCCTTTGGTTAATGCATAACATCTGGCTTCTTAAATCAGTGTATCCTCAGTGTTTGGCTGTAATCAATATGCATTTTCAGTCTTTGCAGAGTTTCTTCTTTAGCTTGGAGGAGTTTTTCGCCTTATAGGTCTCTCCCCATCTGTTCTAAGTAATCGTAGAAGTTGCTTTTTTATCTCTTCATATATTTTTGGAATTCCTTTCTTGAATCATCTGTCTGTGTCTCCTCTCTGCCCCCTGCAGTCTTTTCTGAAGACGAAATACGACTACTGAGTAACATGAATGGGGCTGCAGTGAAAGCACTATATACATCTTTCTTCAACTGTTTGGAAGAGGAACAGAGTTGCACAGTTATAGCGTAGCATAGCTCCTTATATCACCCACATGCTATTGGCTTCATGTCATTTTGGTAGCACTGTATACACACAATTAGTCATGTCAGAGATGTGTAAGACAAAAAAAAAAGTGGAATTTATTGAATTTATTTTGTATTCTTAACGCAGAGAAATTCTATCTTATATTTATTGGTAACGTACTTTAATATTAACCCTTTACTGTCATAGAAAGGTACAGTAATAATGATTGATCCCTATATATTTGCGAGGTTAATTCTCCTTTAGCCTAGAAGTATGTCAGGACATTTAGTTCTCTCCTCCAAACTGCCTAAATCAGGTTTTATTGGCAGAACATTTCAATGTGGAACTTACTTATAAAGAAGTATCTCAGGTCAAAATTTTAAAAGTTTAACTTTTCTTTAGTTTCTATAGTGACTGGTCTACTTTCTGAACTGTCCATTTATTATTTTTCTTATATAATCAATAATAAGGCTGCAGTCTTACATCCAGCAGTGAAACAACTAGAGTTTGTCAGCCTCTGGTACATCTGTTTTAAATAGCATGACTATCAATTATACACATCACAGCCAGTTTCCCAAGGTATGAGATTATCTACTTACAGACAAGTGAAGATGAAATAGGAATAATTTGATGCATCCTCATGGTGGTCTGCAACTCTACATCATGCCGTAAATCAGTTCGATGCTGACTAAGGCTTGTGAATATGATGATACTAAGTCAATGGTCTCTCTGCTGAAATGAACAGCTGACTCCCCCTTACCCAAACCACCTGTGCACCTAGTAAATATATCACTGAGGAAAGTGTTGACTTTATGCAAGTAACGTACGGATGTGTCGTTTCCATTGAGAATAGCTTATGTGCTTAAATCGTTATTGTAAAAGAGAAAGTGTTTATTTAAAATTATTTTTTATTTTATATTGAAATGCCAAATCTTATACGTAGGGAGGTAGCTGCACGTGTACAACATTAAAATACTTTTAACTTAGAGTATGACATAATAGAGAATAGTTAGCACACATATTATCATATTTGTAAATAAATATACCAAATACCATATAAACAGATTAACCAAATACCATAATAAATAACACTGACACCATTTAACATTGGATGGAAAGGGCGTAGCTTTATTGAGGGTATTTAGAGGCATTACCAAACACTTTAAATTAATACCATAACCATTTCACAAATATTAAAATTTAACAATCTGCCCTTGAACCAGCCAAATTGCCTAAACCTTAAGCCTCAATCCATGCCGTATTTGAGGCGACCTTACTCCCAATTCCCCAGCCTACGACACTAAAACAAAAATAAAAAAGGGTTGGCGGGAAGCTCAAAACTTCTCCCTCTTGATCTGTAAGTGCCTCAGGTGTGAAGCCTGCGCAATTCAAACGTATATATATATATACCTATTACTAACTAGCGCGCGCTGCTTTCTTTATTCTTAACCAATCAGTACCAAACATTTTCCCGAACAGCCAATGAAAATAACTTATTTAAAACCGCAGTAAACTGGATTCAGCTGGCTAACCTTCCAAGCTAAACTAACCCTTGACCTTTAGCTGACCCTAACCTATCACCCTAAGCTCCCTGCAGGACATCCCTCTCGCTGGCAATAAGCCAGCGCTTCTCCATCTTCTGTGCTTGCATTTCCTGGAGTATGGTTTTGCTGATTAGTGTCTGGGCATGCATTCACCAGGGAAATGCAAATTTTAAGCAACAGGAGACAAACTGGAATAAAAAATATTCTGATTTGCAATTCCTTGGTAATTTCCCTATGTTTTTATTAAATGGAAACATCTATTGGAATCCAGTATTAAATAGATTGCTTCTATAGCATCAGATTGTAGGGTACAATATAAAAATATAAACTGTAAATGTTTTGACACTTGTCCCATTCATGAAATGGATTTATTTATTGATTTATTTATTTATTCATAAAATATTTTACAAAATCTGAGACATACAGGGAGTGCAGAATTATTAGGCAAGTTGTATTTTTGAGGATTAATTTTATTATTGAACAACAACCATGTTCTCAATGAACCCAAAAAACTCATTAATATCAAAGCTGAATATTTTTGGAAGTAGTTTTTAGTTTGTTTTTAGTTATAGCTATGTTAGGGGGATATCTGTGTGTGCAGGTGACTATTACTGTGCATAATTATTAGGCAACTTAACAAAAAACAAATATATACCCATTTCAATTATTTATTATTACCAGTGAAACCAATATAACATCTCAACATTCACAAATATACATTTCTGACATTCAAAAACAAAACAAAAACAAATCAGTGACCAATATAGCCACCTTTCTTTGCAAGGACACTCAAAAGCCTGCCATCCATGGATTCTGTCAGTGTTTTGATCTGTTCACCATCAACATTGCGTGCAGCAGCAACCACAGCCTCCCAGACACTGTTCAGAGAGGTGTACTGTTTTCCCTCCTTGTAAATCTCACATTTGATGATGGACCACAGGTTCTCAATGGGGTTCAGATCAGGTGAACAAGGAGGCCATGTCATTAGATTTTCTTCTTTTATACCCTTTCTTGCCAGCCACGCTGTGGAGTACTTGGACGCGTGTGATGGAGCATTGTCCTGCATGAAAATCATGTTTTTCTTGAAGGATGCAGACTTCTTCCTGTACCACTGCTTGAAGAAGGTGTCTTCCAGGAACTGGCAGTAGGACTGGGAGTTGAGCTTGACTCCATCCTCAACCCGAAAAGGCCCCACAAGCTCATCTTTGATGATACCAGCCCAAACCAGTACTCCACCTCCACCTTGCTGGCGTCTGAGTCGGACTGGAGCTCTCTGCCCTTTACCAATCCAGCCACGGGCCCATCCATCTGGCCCATCAAGACTCACTCTAATTTAATCAGTCCATAAAACCTTAGAAAAATCAGTCTTGAGATATTTCTTGGCCCAGTCTTGACGTTTCAGCTTGTGTGTCTTGTTCAGTGGTGGTCGTCTTTCAGCCTTTCTTACCTTGGCCATGTCTCTGAGTATTGCACACCTTGTGCTTTTGGGCACTCCAGTGATGTTGCAGCTCTGAAATATGGCCAAACTGGTGGCAAGTGGCATCGTGGCAGCTGCACGCTTGACTTTTCTCAGTTCATGGGCAGTTATTTTGCGCCTTGGTTTTTCCACACGCTTCTTGCGACCCTGTTGACTATTTTGAATGAAACGCTTGATTGTTCGATGATCACGCTTCAGAAGCTTTGCAATTTTAAGAGTGCTGCATCCCTCTGCAAGATATCTCACTATTTTTGACTTTTCTGAGCCTGTCAAGTCCTTCTTTTGACCCATTTTGCCAAAGGAAAGGAAGTTGCCTAATAATTATGCACACCTGATATAGGGTGTTGATGTCATTAGACCACACCCCTTCTCATTACAGAGATGCACATCACCTAATATGCTTAATTGGTAGTAGGCTTTCGAGCCTATACAGCTTTGAGTAAGACAACATGCATAAAGAGGATGATGTGGTCAAAATACTAATTTACCTAATAATTCTGCACTCCCTGTATGTATTTAATTTTTAATTATAACTTTATCTCATCTGCCACCATCTAGGGAACCCATTTTCTTAATTTCAGGAGGTTCATGGCAAAATAGGACATTGAGAAGCCAAATGCAATTCAACATAGACAAATCGAATATAATGCGTCTGGAACAAATTATATACATTCAGCATGGTTATGCATGGTTTAATACTTGGTTACTGGGAACATCCTTATAGGACATTGTGTTTTTGTAAATGATTTGCACATAAATGGGGTACGGCGTTAGTAGGAACAAAATACAACTTGACAACAACTCCCTGGTAACTATATGTCCTTAAATTGCTTACTGAGGAAAGTTTATTTTTTGTTGTGCTCATGTTGACCTTTTTCACCTTTCTCTATTCCATGAGAATCCTAACATCCTTTCCAGTATGATGGTCAAAGGTCACCTCATGAGGAGTTTTAAGTCTTTCGACTGACAACTGTAACCTATATAGAGCACATGCTAGACCATGTACAAAGTGCAGAATGGTTTCCTTCACCAGCTAGCACTGGTATGATCAATGTTATCTGATGTCCTATTTCCTAGTAAAATAACGGAAGTTCATCATATTGTGCATTTTCTTTTAACATCTTTGCTTAAAAGAGATATCTGGTGATTTCAATTGACTTTGTGCTATTCACACATCTCCTCTTAAAGGGGAGGTGTAAACACCAAAATAACTTCATCTTAATGAAGTGATTTGGGGGCATTGTTGCTGCTCCAGCAGTGTTGTAAGTGGAGACACTGCCATTTCTGAGACACAGCACTGTTTACATTTTGCAGTTTCCATCCATCTAGTGGCTTTCAGATAGATCACCACTTCTGGTTTCTGATAGAATTAGATTTAATTAATGAATCTCTTTGATGTCCGGCATTAACATAAAAGATGCTGATGATGAAGACTCTGCGTGCACCCAGCAGACTAAAACTATTGCTGTGAATGCATAGTATGTCTACAATGTTTCCATATGTGAATCATCCGATTGGGCCACATATCATAAAACAAACTAAACGGACAATGGGTAAAACGTTTTGTTCTATGCATGGTGCAAAAAAAAAGAGATTATTAATGGAAAAAAAGATGATTCGTGGTTAGGGGACACTAAATGCTGATTTAATTCACAGATCAAGTGAGAAGACACCAATAAAGGGTAAAGAGTAGAAGTAGTAAAATAAACTATTTTTATATATTATATATTTAGTAAATAGATAATATATAATTATAGATTTTTTACCGCCCCACCTTTTTTTCCTTTTCACTTGAACTGTGAACCAAATGGCAAGAAACTGTTATGTATACATTTTGCAGTCCTGATTGGCCCATTTTATTCCCTTTTGGCTTGCCTGAATTGTTTTTTCCCAAACAAATGCACAATCAAAATGTGTCTGGACTGAAACGTCCCGTGGAGGAATCCTGAATTGACCATAACATTTCTTTTCGCGTGAATCGATTTGGCTGAACTTTTTTCACCAATTATTTTTTACAATTCTGTGTTTAAATTGCGTTACATACAAATGTAAACATCTAAATTATATAACTTTGCACAATTTTTATCTTTCAGTTATTTATTCTGCCGTTATAAAAATAATTGGGAAATTAATGATCTTAAACAGTATACAATTTGAGACAGAGTTAGGGATTGCACACACTTAATATTATGGATCACCACTTGGTGCCACATAGATAAGTGTGGCAAAACTTTAATTTAAATGTAAATAGTGAGCGATCCAGGCACACAAGATTCCATCTAGTGCAGATTTTATTGGAAGTAAAAGACTTGAGACAGTACAGAGTGACCTTTATATTGCAATATTTCACAAAGGCTCTGAAATGTTAGTATAGAAGCAAAAATACAATATATCGTACATATTTTAAGTGTGATAAAAATAGATAAGTGCAAATGGCCAAATACCTTACTCATAGCCTTTTTGTAAGGATCGTAAAGGCATTACTGTCCACAAAGCTTACTGAAAATGGCTAAAGTATGTGAAAATAATGTCTGCAGTTAACCAAAATGCCAATGTACAGTCAATATATCTATATATTTAAACAAATATGAAAAATGGCTTTATCAATCTTTATTAATCTCTGGAATGCTAATATCATGATAACAGTGAAATGGTAGAGTCCATTCACTCCTTCCCCTCTTGGACTGTAGGAATGATATGACCCATTGGAACTTAAGTTAATTCTTTCGAAGCTGGGAATGAGCGAACAGTTTTAAGCATTTAAACAGTAATAAGTGGCTTCCAAGCAGAGAAATGAATTGCTCTACAGACTGATAATCATCCCTAGCACATACATGAGTATAAGTAAGTCTTTATGGGATTTATATTTCATTCTGCAACATTCAGGGAAGTAAAAATATTTATACTCGATTCTGGTACTGAAGTGGTTAATACCTTAAGTAGATTATCATAAATGAATATATAACAGTCAATATGTAACTTGATATATCAATAGATAACTTAATATGTCCATATTAGTGTAGTTTGAATCCATGGTACTATACAAGATGTCACTAAAGTTGCAATTTCAATGTCATCCATTATTACACCCAAATAAACAAAAGCAAAAAAAACCCCAAAACTCTTAACCCTTTAGCTGTGCCTCACATTTCTTTCTGATTGGCCTCAACATCAGTCTATGAACACCGTTCCAATGAGAGACTAGTGGGAGCTGAGATGCTGACATCACTCCACTTCATAGCCACTCACTGTCTGTGCTTATAGTATACATATTGCATTTCAAAGTAGTACTAAGGGTAAAGGTGCCAGATAATAATAGCATATTGAATGGCTGTGGGGCAGAGTCATGCTATGCTGATCTCATTGGCTGATATTTGTATAAAATGCACTTAAGTTATCTTGGTGCCTTGAATGTCCCTTTACCAACACACATGGAAACAAACCTATTGTCAGCCAGCCCTGAAAAATCCTGTGAAATTCTCTTTTAATGGTATAGATGTAATGCTAATGGTATTCTAAATAAGTTATACATAATCAGTCTGACATGCTATATATCATTTCACACAAATGACATTTACAATGATATAAAGACTTGTCAGCCTTTTGATGTGGTTTTGAAAAGCTTTTTATGATCACACATATGGGTTTCCCTTCTTACATACCAATCTATTTTAATCATGGAAAAGAGAACTGTTTGTGCTCCTATAATTAACATATGCAACTGTAAACCTTCACTAAATGCCTCATATGTTGCTGAGTCTGTCTTCATTCTATTTAAATTAGTCGCCATTGTAAAAAATATAATAAATCACGAAAATCTGTTAAGAGAAATGTGACAATAAATATTATGATAGACGAATCACTGTTATAATTGGTATCATTTCCTCAATTGGTCTGTAAAGTGTTTTAATTAAAATATATTATGTTTTGGTAAATGGATCAACTCCGACTCGAGACCTGGAAATGTAAATCTTTAGTAGCATATAAATAAGCAATTTGAAAAAAAGAGAAAATATTTGAATTTACAAATTTTGCAGACAATAAAAAATATTAAAATAAGGAAGTAATAACATATTATTCTGATGATGTTATATTCGAATATGTAATCTCTGCTGTATTAGGAAAACTAATGTAACGCTTTGCCCGTTATTAGAAGATAGAAGAATAAACTTGAAAACTACTAAAACATAGTTTATAATCTCATTTTAATAAATACCATCATAGTGATCCAAAAGAGTCAATATTTAAAAGACTACAGATTTTTTTTTTTTTTTAGACATTCAAGTTTTAATTTAAATTCAGTTGCAGCTATGCTATTTTAGCCAAAATTTTGCAGTTAGATTTTATAGTTCACTGCAGTCTGGGGCATTTCCCAGTGGGAAAAGACCAAGGGACATACATTTATTTAGCCCTCCCACACATTGGCTTAAAGTAATACCATAACCACTACAGTATGTTCCATGAGGAAGAGTCAAACAACATCCAAGAACATCCAGAGAGTCAGACAAGTCCTGATGTCCAAGCTCAAAGACAAGAACAAGATCTACGCCATCAATACATTCACCTTACCAGTACATCAAGTACCCAGCTGGGATAATAACCTGACCAAGAGAGCATAGCTTGAATATCAATACCCAGAAATTATCCACGATGAGTGGATCATTCCACCCAAAATCCACTACACTCAACCTGTGCACCAGCTAAAAGGAAGGGGGTCAGGCCCTAATAAAGGGCAAGGATAGAGTCTTGATGGACTTTTCTTTAATTGCACTGGATATGTAAAAAATATTATAAGCAACAGCATGAAATGTTTTTATTATTTTCCAATTCTTTACATTTCATTCACACTTAATATTGTCTTAGGTATACACATAGGATATTAAAAGAAAGCCCTTTTTGTCCTAAAAAAATTATATAATATGTATGGGGCACTTCAAGAGAAATGCTTAAATTATAGTTGAACAAACACATAATGCAAATTCTAGGTTTTGTTTTGGTCCAGAAAGAGCACAATTGCCTCTGTCCTTAAAGAGAATAAATAAATTATATTTTCCATAAAACGCACACTCATTTATTATTATTTTTTTTTAACAGTGTGCCCAGCAGGGTACAAAAATAAAAATCCTCTTACGGTTCAGTTTTCCATGAAAACATAGGCTTTATGCACTGCCAGTGGTAAAACCCACATAGTGGGTAATGCACACAAAAAATGCAAAGGAACAGGCACTTAGCACCAGATCAACCGTAGTGGGGCCTGCCATACCAGAAAAGGTGCAGACTGGGCAAGGAGAGGGGCAATCCAGCACAGAGTAGCCAGGTGCAATATGTTAAACATCTTATACTGAGGGACACAGCCAAATTGCCAGGATTGTGTACTGAAACATCTGCACATAATATGGTCTGCACCTGCCTATGTCTAGATGGCTCATCTAGACATGCCTCAAAGTTGAAAATGACAGGGCTAAGATCCTATGGAACTTTCAGATCCAGATGGACAAGCAAGTACCGGCCAACCAACCAGAAATTGTGGTGGTAGTCAAGAAACTGAAGACTGCAGTGGTGGTTGATTACCCAGTGACCATAACATCAAGAAGAAGAAATATATGAAGGTGGACAAGTAGCAAGCACTGAAATAGAAGCAATAATGGATGTGGAAAGTGAAGGTAGTAGTCGTTTTAGTGGTGAGAGAAACACTTGGGGCTGTAACATCTAAGATCTCTGTCCAGAAGAGAATAGTTCTAATAGCTAAAATACTGTGCAGATCCCTTTGACTCAGAGGCATATGGTAGAGAATTCAAGAATGATGAATACACAAAATACTATCCGGAGAGGTAAAAAAAAAAAATGATATAAAGGATAGAAAATGTAGGAAATTATCTACTAACTAAACAACTGAAATATAAAAATTAAGAAAAGGACTTCTAATTTTGATCTTTCAGCTGTTTCAGCTGTAATGTATATATATATATATATATATATATATATATATATATATATATATATATAACTTACAAATCTCTATAATCATCAAAATGGTAAAGAGAATGAAATTATTTAAAAGACAACAGATTTGGTTTATATTGTATCTGGGCCATGTTTTATTTCTGTTTATCAATAACTGTTTCTTTGAAATTATATTGCATGGTACATTTGCTCTGGTAATTTTATTAGAGTTTTACAGATGGTTCCTTAGTTATATGGAGTTGTTAATAAATTGCTCTTCAAAGAGCTTGGTGAGTCACAAGAACTAATGGCCAGTTATAAAGACACAGCATGTTCTTCTCTATGTGAACTGGTAATTGTTTTCTTATTTGGTCATCGACACAAGCTTAATAAAGATAGTACATTAGTGAATGTTCCAAAAATCACCAACATAAGTGGAATGATGTAAATGGATAGTATAGTTTCAGCATTAGGCAAAATGCAAGTAAATAGCACTCCATGTTGTTTTAATTTGGTAAGAATTTAATGCAGATTTGAGTATCTACAGTTTTACAATAGTTGATGGACTGCTTACTTGACTGTATTCATATTTTAATGCTTAAAATGATAATATACATTAATGAATGTTCAATAAAAGTGGGTTAGACTTGGATTCATTAATATTTAGAATTTTACAAATATTTCCAGAAGGCTCCTCACAATATATTTGTGTGTATGATGATCAAACTGTCTTTTAGTTTTAGTTAGTTAAATGGATTTTTAATTTATTTAAGAAAATAATGTTATTCAGCACAATGTTTCTCCGTTTAGAACATCGACAGGAGATTTTATTTATTAAAGTGAGAATTTTGAATTTTAAATTTAAGGTCGAAATAGCCAAATTAGAAACATTCACTGTTTTAGCTATTCTTTTAGTTCAACTACTTAAATATGAAATGTAATTTTAATTCACTTTGGAATCACACTTTAATACAAAACCATTATGGCTAATTAGTGAAGTGTGAATTGCAAGAAATTAATGGAGTTTAAAAGTTTAAGCCACAATAATCAAACTAAAAGATTCTCTAAATTACCTTTGTTTTCTGTTTGTTGGTTTTGGCCTCAAATGTGCTTTGAATTCTTAACAATTCACTTTTTAGTTCTGAATCAAATTTCATCCAGTTGTGTCCAAATTAAGTAATTTAAGTTAAGACCCATGTTGGTAATTATTTGCCATTAGCTCTTATTATTAAACAGCTGGTAGACATTAGCAACTACAAATTACCAACAAGGTTTTTTTGTGGTCTGCTACTAGTAACATCTATTGCAACCGATCACTAGTAAGGGATTACCATTGAGAGAAAAAAGAAAAAAAAGTACATGGATGAATGGTTCAAACTGTCCAAAATGTAGGGATTATCCATTCCTGCTTCCTGTAAGATATTGATACAACCTGGAATTCTGGGGAAGCACTAAGATTCTATCACTGAAAGCAGATTGCAAAATAGTAAAGATGCTAAAAAGACGCACCTAAAGTTGTAGGGAAGTAATTATCGACAGTCTAGCATTAAACCACTTTCCTTAGTATGTGCCAGAATGATATTGCAATGTTTTTGTATATCAAGCACTTAAACTGAAGCTATGATTTTGTATATTATTAAAAGGAGGGTAATCACCTTCAGGGATAGTCAAGTGAACCCTGCTAAGAGCCCGAGTGTGGGGCTGAGGAAAGTTATTTAATACATTGCATGTGCTTGGCATGTGCAGATGTTTTGGAAAGCTTCAATCAGATGGACCTTTCCACACATTGTACTTTACTGCTTGACATTAACAAATATACATACATTATTTTAATTACTGATCTAGGAGACCTGTGAAGTTACATGCTGTCAGGATTTGAGCTGAGGGACCCCAAAGACACAGAAGACAGAGTGTGATCTGTCAACAATACTGGTGGTAACAGATTTTTTGCCATTTACTAGTACACTTTTCTGTCTCTGTGAATTAGTTTTAAGTGTTCTGTTTACTGCGTTATGGAAGTAAACTCATACACATGATGAGTTAGATTTCCCAAGGGTTGTTCTACCACCTTATATCTTTTTTGGGGCCAAACCAAAGTCAGAGGGAAGTGAATAGTGTCTGCTAAGAGTCTGAGCTATTTGTTGGTTAAACCTTTTACTAGACATGTGCAATTTGTTTCGGGCCGAATATGAATTCGGATTAATTTCGGGCACTTCCGAATGTCCGAATAGCTGAAGTGCTGAATTACCGAGGTCCCGAAATTACCAAAGTTCCGAAGTTGCCAAAGTACCGAATTGCCGAAGTTCCGAAGCACAGTATTGCCTAAGTACTAATATACTTACCCAGTGGAAGAAGAAGAATGTTACACTGTATACAATTTTAAATAAAAAGTATACAAACATAGATAGGATTCAGCTGTAAGCATTTGCAACACTTACAGCAATCAAGTAACATACATTCATTTAAAATGTAAGTTACTTAGCCAGTCAGTGTAATGACAGGAATGAATAAGTAGATAACTCCCTAATTCCCACGTTATTAGGGAGCTATCTACTAAAAGGCTGAAAGACCTAAATTGGTCTTTTAGCCAAATTTACTAATACTAAGTAAAGATTACTTAGTATTAGTAAATTATGCCCATACTCGCTATACCGCCTGTGGCTGCTCACTGTAAAAAAAGAAATTAAAAAAAGTCCCCCCTCCTAACCTGAAGCG